GCTATGGAACATTCAATCTATTTACCAAGCTTGTTTTTTTTTAGGAACAATTTTTTGTCACTGTGTTGTTTTTGCAATGAAATTGGAACTAGGCCTACAGCATCACCGTTTTGCGTCAGGGAATGGATTTTGTTCTATGGTTTTGTAGGAAAAGCAGCGTTGTGTTACACATACACGCTCATATTTTTTAAAGTTATGCCCGTCTCCCAGATATATCTGCATTTTGTTTTGTCTGTGTCATCTGTGTCTTTTTGTATTGTTTATGTCAGAGAACCAAAATAAATGATTGATTGAACTCTCAATCGGCTGGCGGTTGCCAGTCCATGTCGGAAATGGAATTAGTTATCAGGTATCCATACCTCTGTTTCAGATGCATGGATTTGATGGTAGAAGAAGCTGTAATAGACCAGTAATCAGTATTTATTTTATCACCATAAAAATTGACGAGTGTTTGATGTCTTCCACTTTCATGGGTTCTTTGCAAGCAGACACAAGTATAATCAAACGAAATAATCAAAGTATAATCGAACGTCGCGAGAGGAAACGCTCGTCACTGATAAATAAATTGGAAACCCGAAATACAAAAATTGACGTACGGCGCCGAAGAGGCGGATACCGAACCTTGTTATCTGATCCGTTTGGATTCGATTACTATTCTCCGGACAGTAGCCATCTTTCTTGTAATGTAATGAGGTTTGGCGACTCTTGGAGTATATGTAAGCCTACAAGTTTCATTCGATGCTTTGACCAGTGCTTACGTGAAACACACGGCGGTGAGGAGTCCAGAACACCTCTCGCAATATAATATATATATATATATATTGCTCCTACTTGTGTTTTCTCTATTTAAATACGAAAAATACAAAACGCAGAACGAAAGCTTCAAAAGTGATAAGACTGCAACAAAGCAATGCTGAAATTAAATAACGAGATGAAGAATATTACATTGCTTAAATACATATATATTGTGACGAAAATATTTCTTGTTCATTCTCAAGTTTTGAATAATATATTTTTTGCCGACTGTAAGGTAGGAGAGTAGGGCTGGGAATGGTTACCAGTTAACCGATTTTAGATGGTTAACGGTTACAATTTATTTTAACCGTTAACTGACATCTCAGGTACAAAACATCTTTTACAGTGTACGATTCCTTCAAAAATGTTTACGAAATCGCAAATTGATCTAATGTGGCGTTTAATTCAAAAGAATATCACTAACTGTGTTGGTAAACAACACCCAATAAATGTTAAAAAAAGGAAGTACCAAAATTGCTGATTATAAAAACTTGACAATGATAGATTCAGCACAGGGGCGGACACTTTCCATAATTTTGGGGGGGCGAACTTGGATCGCCTACCGAAAAACACCGCGCCGTGTATCGTCACGTAACAATAACTGGTCGATGTCATTCTCTAAGTATTAGCATGTCATTTTGCTACTCATATATCGATTACCTAGGCTGCTTGGCTCGGACACGGAACTTGCGCGTCACTGAACCAATTTCTTGAATTCCGCGAGAATTAGCCCACGGCTCTCGCTAACAAACAGAAAATAACAAATTTGAGGTCGGAACTTCCCATTGCCGTCTGCAACAAGCACCGCGATTACGCGCTAGTTAAAAGAGCCGCCTATTTAAGCATATAATGTTTTTTCTGTCGATCCATGACAGCCACGAGATTCTAAAATGTCCTTACATATTAATTTAATTGTGTGCAGCGTAACTCGCGGTTGCGACTTCTTAGGTCAAAATAAAAATATTACTAAACTAAAGTACCACGGCGATATGGGGAAATAAAAATATGAGATAAGCTGCCTGATGTATTTAATTTTGATACGTATTTTTGCAATCTTCCGAACTCGTTATCGCCGTTACAAAAATCTCGATATCTGATATAAAATCCCATATAGTACAATTTTACTTCATACAATGAAAATAATTATAGGGTATACTAGTAAATCAAAAATACAAATTCACCGCCTCGAAATCCACGCGGAACAGTCGCCGCGATTACGCCACTTGTTAAAAGAGCCGACTTTATCAACGAAAAATGATTTTTCACTTGTGCAAAGTAATCAATCAAAGACCGATACGGGCATATTCAAAATGTCTTGATTCATTATTTTAATTGTCTTCAATTTAAACTACGGTTGAGTCGACAAAACAAGAGCCATTCTAACACACGACGGCAATCCGCGGACATAAAAATGTGTGGTAAATTGCCCGATAATATATATTGTTTTGATCCGTATTTTTGCTATTTTGCGAATTTGATAAATTTGAGATTTACTTGTAACACTGGCACCAATCGCAATGTTGTCACTCCGATTATTTTTAAAGATAAAACCTTTCGAAAAATCCATAAATTTTTTGTCAATTCTCACGTAGTAAAAGTTATTTCAGTACAATAAAAATACATAAATAAATACAAAAAGTGATCGAAAATACTTTAATTATCTTATATATCATCACAAACCGGGGAAAAGTCGCGTTGTCAGCTTTGTTTAATGTTAACACGAAAATTTTCGACGTCAATTTGAAAGTAATGGATAAAAAGGCAAATCCCGCTCACAATTGACCGTGTTTCGATTTTAGTGACGAAATGTTTTTAAAGGTCAAGCAAACATAACTTGTGAAATTTTGCGATTTTCGATGCCTAGAAAAGCGTTTTTAGACTGTCGCGGGCCTCAACAAAACCTATATTGTTTACAGTTTTATTTTTAGTATTTTATATTGCCGCTTTTCAACTTTTCGACATAGTAAATGTTTTGATCTTTGCCCGCAAATTATGCTGGGTCTTGCACGAAATCCATAACGTGAAAAGATACGTTCAGCGGTGAAAATTGTTTATAACAGCTTTAGATCTAGTTAATTTTTTAGCGATAATAATTAATTGTTGTAATGAAACACAGTTTGCCTCTTTCACTTCTCTCGCAAGTGCCAACAATAACACTATTGAAAGATTTTGACAATGAGAAAATCATATTAAATTGTACAAAAATGAATTTGTTGTGCAAAACCGTGGCGCGTGATCGGCGGTGCGTTTGAAGACGGAGTATTACCCGTGCGGACGCGCATGTTTCACGAAAATGTGAGGTGCTCCGAAGACGCTCTGGTCCACATTATTGTGAGAAAACAGTTATAATATCGGTGACTATTAACCGTTTAATTGCGCTTGACTATCGCACTTTTCGGAAATGATAATTTTGTAAGGCGGAAACAACATGTATCAAATTTTTTTGCGAAATTATTGGGGGGGCGACCGCCCCCCCTCGCCCCCCCGGGTGTCCGCCCCTGATTCAGCATCAGTTTTCGGTCGAAATATATTGTTCACGATTTTATTGCAGTATCGTATAATCAATGTCATCCAACAATTGCGCAGCTGATGCTGTTTTTCTTTGTGATATCTCAAAGTTAAATTTGCAGATCGAGGACTGAAGATCTGTCACATAAATGAAATTTAATACCGGAATCGGGATTTACCAAAATGCTTTCATATGTCCGAACCTCGCTGCATATCTCTTGCAGCAGAGCGATTATGAAACTATCTCGATTCGTAAATAATTCTGAGCGATACCCTGATAAAATCACTCGAAATTGCTTTGTAACCGTCGTGACGTAACAAGTTGAAATTATAAATTAGTACGTGAAGCGTCACACCGGGGTTAACCGGTTAATTTTACCCGGTTAACCGTTAAAATGTTTTCTCTGAAATTCCCAGCCCCACAGAAGAGGGCATGTATCGTAGTAAGTCATATCGGAAAATCTGGAATCAACTTTCAATTAAATACATGCATACTGACGCGAAAATATTAATGGGATTTACATGACTACCGGATTCTCTCCAATAAAATACACTGGGTGTCGAGCATCGCTGCTCGAACAACTCATTGCATTTTTTTATGAAGTTATGGTCTGGTCTATTAGACATTTTATAATCATTGATGTCAGTTTTAATCAAACAGCAGTGTAGCTCTCGCTTATAAGTGCAAAACCAAACTCCAATTGCTTCAAATCATTTGAAATATCCGCCCATATTTATCAACGAACTACTTATTTTGATTACTTTTCTTAAGTTACTCGTATTTTTATTTTGACAATGAGACGATACAAACCTTGTTTGAAAACGCTCCGTCGTTTAGGAATAGGACATGATAAAACAGAATGTAGTTAATCATCAACAAATTGCAGAGATCCATTACTACAAAACAAGAGAGCGTGCTCAAATATATAAAACATTCATCAAATCTTTAAATTATTCAACAGTGAGTTTTGACTGAACTAAAAATACTGAATTTCTAAACAAGTTTAGCAGAAATTTATTGCGACTTTATGGATAAAATTGCAATCTTGAAAAACCATGACTCATCTATTCATATCCCCAAATAAGTAGACTACCTCAAAAAGTGTTCAGTGAAAACAAATTATGTTATTAGTTTAGAATCAATTGTTTCCATTTTGAAGCTTTGAAACACAAAATACACGCGCGGATCTTATTGGAACAATGTCATGTTTTTTTATGTACTGGGTCGGTTGATATCCTTCGATTTTTCAGTAATTGATGAGGGACGTGTCTTTCTTGAATAGCTAATTTATATATGTATCATTGCTCCAACACATTTAATTTCAAAAAATTGTCTTTCAGCTTGGAGTTTCTCTAAATCAAACTGTTCTATTTCAATGTCGTGTGTGCTCAATAAGCTCGTTTTTTAGATTTATGCGATCCGTTTTTTTTTGTACGATGACTTCATCAAAATTAAAAAAGTGCGCGTCAATTACCTCACTATGTCGTCACAGTTGAACATCGCTCTCTTGTTTCCGAGAGCCTGATCTTTTGCTGAGCTATTTTAGCGTTTACATGTTTAGCTTAATTAAAGCGCGGCTGTGGGCTCTCGCTTGATGTTTGCGGGCACTGTTCCGCAACTCTGTTCAACAACCACGCGACATGACACCAACCACTTGACACTTAGCCAAAATGCCTTCTCATCAAACTCACTGTTTCGTAGTAAACACTTGCTCGTATTCACTCATGTATTTTGCTTTATTATTGATCTACTAGCATAAAAATTCAGCTGGTAACATTGACTATAATATTTCCCCTATTTAGGAATTGTTACGACACAATGTAATGCCGATACGACCATGTTTTCGCATCCAACCCGCCTTTGTAACTTTTCAACGAGTTGAGGTAATTGTTGAACTTGGATCTTTAGATGTACTCTAGTAACTAGTTCTCGTAAGTTTAATCCTGAAGGTTATAAAGCCCATCATTGTCAGTTGCAAAGTCTTTACTGGGATCATAACTCTGATTCACTCCGTAAGTATTTCTCTCGTTTGACCTATCCGATGCAGCATCCATATCATGTTTCTTTGTAGTTACATTACTTGTTTCTTCGTAGGTTCCACTTGTCGATTTTTCTCGAGACGAACCGGGAATATTTTCCAACTTTCTATGCTCAAAGTCGCCTTCTTTTACAGTATTTCGCTGAAATATTCGACTGACGAATCCCATAAATCCCGGTGACTTGGGTCGCATTTTTGGCGAATCTTTCACCTCGGGAATATCGTCATCACTGCTAAACAGAATAAAGCTTTTCATTAGAGTTATGCTACAAAAGGAAATAATAATTTTTACTAAAGTTTTATAGTTCATTTAGTTTATAAAATTACTTATTGGATTGTCATGAAATACCGATGTGAATCTAGGGGCTGATGCTTTGGTCTTAGGTGGTCACTGGTCTAAGTTGTGTAATACGAGCGATCCACACGGGTATGACAGGCGCTGGAGACGTGAAACGACTCGAAAATTTTGTATTTTATAAGGTTTCGCATAGGGTTCAAAACAAGAATCTTCAATATATAATGATCATTGTGTCACAAGTTAGTATGTAGGCTTTTCCCCATTACCGGTTAGGTGGACTAGTGAAGGAGTCCCAAGCTGAACAACACAAAATCGCTTCTAGGGATTTACAACTTGAAAGGGAGAATGTTTAGATATTCGTCAACTAAACGAGACATGATGCTGCCAAATCGTGCCAATAGATTTCAAACCAAGTGGCACGAATATACCGCTGATTTAAAAACCACGTGTTGAATGTGATCGTAGATGTCGCATTTTGCCAAACTACCAACTGAACGTATTTCACGATTGCCTTTAAACGAATTTGTACAAATGTATTTCTAATGATTCTCACCTTCCACCAGATGAATTTTCGCTGATTCGTCTATCAAGAAATCCACTGCTATCAATGGTTATCTGATTCATGGATGGATGTCTATGAGCAGCAAATCTGTGAGCACAAATGCATCGCGGATGTTTGGTATTTTTGTATTTCTGATATATATAAATAAATTAATATGCACTAACCTAAATCCTTCTTGAGAAAAGGATTTTCTGCTTTTATGCATCCATCCGAGTTTTGTTTTTCGTTTTCCGCGAAATATTCTCGCTTTTTTTGAAGTTTGTGTAGTTGAAGAGGATTCAGCCTTCGAAAAATTTACATTAATAGAATATAGGGATATTATTTGTGTTCGTAAATGTGCGTAATCCAAATATGAACCTGTAAAACTTGTCGATTTGCTGTCGTTTTGAAGTCGAAAATAACTATTGCTACTACCAATGTATGCGTTGACGTTATGCTTAAGAAATCAACGACTTTTATCAATATTAATTTAATTGAACCTAAAACTTAATGTATGTATTTCAAAAAAGCTCTTCATCGTACAGATACATTGAAGGTAACCAAAAATAGAACACGATACTGAAAAAAAAGTTTATTGATGGAATAAACGCAAGGCTAGAGAACCGCGATAAAAAAGAAACTGTGTTTTTGAACAGTGGTCGGATCTATACAACGAAATTATAATTTGATATCGCTATGTATACTGACGGGTGACTAGTATGAGATAGAGTAGAAAGTCATTTCCAAATTAGCTAATATCTTACATATTCTCATCAAGAAACATTCACGTAATTGTATGTTTATGTATAGTTGAATAAACAAATCAAGGACTTACCGTTTGTTCAATTGGTTCCTTTTGCTTCTGTGGATTATAAATTTTTGATTTTGACTTGTCTTTTTTACTGAGAGGATCGATTATGGGTGATCTTTCCGAATCTTTTGCTCCTCTGTATCTTGAATCAATAATAATAATAAACGTGGTAGGTATGATAGTGAAATTTTTACTAGTTCAATAGTCAAATGAAGTGTTTTCATATTCTATTCTCGGTCTGTTTCGGTGGGTGAAGCAACGTATTTAAGAAAATATTTTTGGGTTGTACCCAGAATTCCATGACTGAATATATGAATATGTGCTAATATACAGAATATTTAATTTTTGTTGGCATTGGGCCACTCGCCTCAAATTTGGATTTTAAAAATACCTTCGATAAAACTGCGTCGCCAGGGGCGCTCCAATCACGAATAAAACAATACCGACGCCGATGAAAGCAAAAGCAACAATTTGAAATTCCTTCGAATAGTTTGCGTTATCATCCATTAGATATGCAGCTGGAGCTGGTGCCTATAAATAATCAAACTTAAACTTGTTTGCAAAATACTGATTGAGAACACTCTTTTTAACGATTCCTATATTGCTTTGGTTCTTCTATTGTATTTGTATATGATTTTGCTCATCACTTTCCGCAATTTTGAAATTGTTTTGGCTTGTGAACAACAGCAGCGTACAAATAGATGAACGCATTTTTATTAATAGTTATTTTCGTGCAAATATGGCTATTCACTAAAACGGCGCTCATGGTGGGTTTAAAATGCTCATTGACATTTCTGCAACAACCTATCTCAAGAAGTATCAATCATGAAGGATATATTTACAATGTCGAAGAAAGAGTTTATATTCATACAATGCCATACCCACTCATTCTAAGACCCGTTAAAAAAATATTCTACAGTAAAATATCTGTTTTGGCCGCCAAGTAGCACTCGATTCAAAATACGAAAATCTAAAGATTGCACAACGCTTTTTTACATGACATGTTTAAAATTAACCCAATAATTCATGACAAATACCACATTTTAGTCAAAGTGTATTGTGGATCCAATTTAAGCTTGTGGTAAGTTGTGGACTTATTTGGTTCTACCATAAACTATATTTGAAGATATTAATTCTTACCGATCGGCCCAATACCAATGTGTCATCCGGCTTCACCTCTTTTTCTGGAAGTTTATCAATGACCAAACTTTCATAGATAAAGAAGGTTCCACCACCAACAAGCAGTAATAAACCACAACACGTCACATACGCAAATATTCTCATATAAACCCTCGACTTTGCCTTTGCCATATCGTTTACAGAATGTAATGAATCTCTATATTTGGGGTTGGTTGTGCCAGGCTTCATATAAGACGATTGTTTTTCGTCCACGTTCTCTACATACAAAAAAAAGAATGATCAAAACTTTGATATTGTAACTTGGTAGAACTACTTATCTGCTGAAATTCGCTAATTGCATTTTATATACAATGTAAACGTAAAATGAATAATAATTTTAAAATTGAAAAATGAGAGGAAAAGTTAGAAACGCGAGGTAGACAAAAACTTGTTTTTCAGAGCCCTTTTACAAAGTTACTCCAAACAAGTCTCTTATATGGGTCAAGCATGTTTCACATTGAACTTTTTCGTTTTAATTTTGCAGCTTAAATTTGAATAAAAACAAAACATAGCATTGTTATTGCCGGTATGGTATGTGTTGCCCGGACCTACCGTGTAACCCCAGTCTGGCAAGTTTTTGTCTACCTCGCGTTTCTAACTTTTCATCTCATTTTTCAATTTCAAAGTTATATCATTCATTTTACGTTTCCATTTATTTTATAAATAAACCTTGTCACTTAGACTATAGCTTGTAAGGTGCTCCCGAAGTATGCGAACCAAGATGGCGGACATCGGAACGTAACATGGGTAACAGGTTAGGGTTAGGCCATAATTTTTTTCCAATTTTCCTTATTTTAGTCCTATTATCAGTTCGAAGACTAGCCAAGAGCCTCCCGTAGTATTCATACCTAAAATTATGGCCTAACCCTAACCTAGTACAAATATTACATTCCGATGTCCGCCATCTTGGTTCGCATATTTCGGGAGCCCCGCTTGTAATATGTATTGATCTGTTATGCAAAATGCCAAGATATTTACGGTGATTTTTACCGGATTTTGAATGAAAATTTACCGAATTTTAAATGTAAATTCACAGGCTACCTTCGTGATGAATATTAATTAGGATTACGAGGATAACTACCGAATTTTTTTTTAAGGATCGCTATTGATATCCTGTGGAATTTCCAAGTAATTCATAGTGATTTCACTGATTTTTTTGTGTCTAATACCCTAAAATGACGTTATATTTTACGGCTGCATTGTAGTGATACGTAATGCCAGGCGATTGTCGGTAAAAATTTTACAGAGTGTACCTGCTAGCTCCATTTGCATTCACAGCAAGGCATATCTCGATCTCATGCGTAATTTTCAGGAATTATCCTTTGAAAGTTACGTAAATTATCTGAATTAACAAAACATGCACATCCAACTGAAAACAAGATTTTTTATTTCAATCACATTGAAATGCTTTGATTAATGCTTTGATTAATATCTTGCTCGTGTTAGAGGTGCGGTGGCGAGCGTATTCCTAACGCTTAGCCCGTTGAGCCACACCGTATGTTAAATAAAAGTGCGGCCCGAGGTTTCACCCAGTTCTTTCTAAATGGCCCTCCCGTATTTAAGGTTGCACACCCCTGGTATACGGTAACGAAATTGAAGATTAAAATCATCTGAAGAAATACTGCTTGAATCTCTCAGTAATTAGGGTGCAGGTAAACATATCTCCAACTAAGCTGCTTCCAAACGATATTTTTATACGGCGGAAACATATACCAAATTGAATTACTCGCACAGTCCGTATTCAATTCAACGTTTGAATGGGCGGATGTAAGGCAAGTTACTCTACAAACAAACTCATCCTGTTGCAAACGAAACGAGATTATTTAATAACTGATGTAACGTAATCATAAATTAACTTTTTTGAAAACAATTTTTTACAGACATTTGAACCACATAATGGTAACATATTCAGTTACAAATAAAAGTGCTTGTCCCCTATTCTAGTCCGAATATCGAAATGATTTGCATAAATTTCTGACCAAAATAAGTGTAAAATAGTAAAATATTGCAATGTCGAAAAGTTAAGGTCACAAATTTATACCGGCCATTGAGCAATGAACTTTTTCTGAACATAAATTTTGACATACTCGGAATAACAAAGCATCCTCAATAAATACGTTATATGATAAAATATGAGAATGAATGATATGAAATACTCATATATGCAGCATTCTTAGGATTTATTTTCGCTTGTTTTGGTGTGAAATGGTAGTACATGTCCTCCATTACAAATGTATTTTATTCATTAACAATTCTCGAAGTTTGAATATCCATTCATTGAAACAAACGGTCGTCGCAGTCATAGGCGTATACAATGGGGTTCCTTGCCCCTTCAAAAATGTTTGAAAAGCGATTTTGTGGTATTTGCAGTGAGACGCAAACTCGTACGTCTTTTTTCAGTTATATTGCTGTTTGTGAGCGATTAAAAATTCCTTCCTCCGAACGAACCGACTTAGATAGTTGAAATTCAGCGACAGCGAAGTAAGCATCGAATTTATGGAAAAAAATGCCCCCCTCTCCCCATATTTTGGGCTGCTTACGCACTTGGTTGTAATGTGTTCGGTACATGTCCAAAAACAATTATTCAGCCCTCTCCACTACAGATAAGTAACAGTGTGAGTTACATAAATCAATTGGTATAATATGCAAAAATTAATTTTTATAGATAGGAAAACCAAAAAACTTATCATATATATAATATAGATTCTACGAAATTTTATTATAGGCCTAGAGACCCTAGAATATCCAAAGCAATGCGTTATGCTGTTTCTAATTACAATTGCCTGCGCTGTCCTGTCGTTTATAGCTGACATTTCTACTATATGTTATACTGAATACATCAAGTGAACTAATGTTGTCGATTCTGTGAATGCTTGTGATAATTTCCGCCCTAGATATGTATTTTGTATTCAATCGTATCATCGTTTTGATTATACCTGTTGCTGAATCATTTCCAGCCATTCCTTAAGAAAATAAATCATTTTGAATACACCACGTATGGAAAACGTATGCCTGCTTGATTTGAAGATTTATTAGTGATGGAATTAGATTAGATTAAATACGATCCACTGGTGTAATAAATTAGAATAAGTTAAGGCTTTCATTTGAATACTATCTTATGGCGTTCATTCGAACGGACCCATACTGAACCCTAATATTTGCTTTATTGCTTCGTGCATTCCATTGGAATGAAAACCCGGATTCTTTTCTTCGTTTTTTTTTCTTCATTTGTTTATTCATTCCAATTTTGAGAGAAATTCCGTCATATATATTTATTTGTTAAAACGCATCACCCGAGAAAAAGTTAATAAATATCAGAAATCCGTAACAAACGTAAATTGAACAACTGGACTTGGAAAGGACCTCAAAAGATCATCAGACCCCGACACCTTCAAAGCTGACTCAGATTAACAAGTATGTGAGTATAAGTTTCTAGTGGAAAACACTATTATACTACTGCCAACGGCAGCCTGTTTCAATTCAATTTTGACATAAATGCAAATAACAAACATGTATAGTGCATATATATATTAGAAATGCTTCAAAAGAACATCGTAGCTTTGTATACATATGTTATTGCAACGTTGGTACAATTGGCGAAGTCATTTCATTTTACTTAATAAGATTTGATGCGGTCGCCTCACACTCTACACTACACCAGATAATAATTGGAAATCAACATTCAGAACTGGCATTGTAATAACGACTAACGCCCGAGGGTTTAAAGGCCGTAATTCGTTCGAGATATGGCAGTTTCTAATATGCGGTCTTGCGAGAAGTAATACAGGAAATTCAGCGATAATTTTCTTATATCGTGGATCAGCAGGGTCTGTCATCAGTTTTAGCAAGATGATATGTACGCATTGCGAATAGATTTTTCTGAATCATGTCGTTTAGTTTAATGCAACGATTGAAAAATAACGAATTTTCTGTTGAGCTTAATGGCATAAAGGTTGAGTTAACGAGAAGACTGTGGTTCTTAAGTTTTGTGTTTACGGTGTTGATTTCTATTTTTATTATTTATGGGATTTATAACGCATATCAACCAGAAAGAGGAGTGCTGCGTGAGGGTGAGAATAAAAATAGTTTAAAATTTTAGAATTTAAATTTGCGTACACATTGATTCATATTTTTAACGTTTATTCCTAATGTCGTGGTATTTATTTATATTACGAATAAATATATAGCATATTATATAAGTTATCTTACTGGGAAGCCTGACCGATTATACTTGGAGCAAGATTTAGTATTGTTAGAATTTAGAAAAATAAATTCCGAATTGTTAATTTGTAATTATAATTTCATAGTCAGTTGCACTGCATTACAAGTTTTCTCATCAATTTTAGGAAACGTTACGATCGAATATGAAATCAAACTAGATTACCAAAAAACCCCAAAGGAGAGGGAGCGCGATAAACTATTGATTGAATATGCATCAGCAACGAGAACTTTGGTAAAAGTTTTACAAAGGGTGAGATTATTGAATTTTAAAAAATTTATTTCGTTCTATCCATACTTTTACTATAATATATAATAAATGTATTTCTATAAAATATCAGTAATATGTTTCATACTTGTATCTTGTTACGCCATTTGATTCTTGCAACAAAAAGCATGGTAAAAATGCAATTTGTAGCGATTCATACACAAACACAACTTCAGCTGTTCTGTTATATTTCATTTGCAATCAATTTAAAGTTTATGAAAAATATATATATATATATATATATATAAATACTCAAGAAAGGCAATTTTCATAATAGCAATTTCATATCTTCAGCCAGCAGTTCAGCGTGCACCAGATGTCATTGGAATCGGGGTTGAGAAGTGTGGAACAGGTGCTCTTAGGGCTTTACTTCGTATGCACCCGATGATCAAAGTATCACCCAGAGAACCTCACTTCTTTGAACGACCGTATTTATATAAGTTGGGCCTAAAAGCATACACGTAAAAATGTTTTCATTGTAACTAACTCTTTGTATAGTTGTTCAGACCCTAATATACGAAATAACCTAATACTATATGGCAGGCTACTCAACTGGCGGACCGCGGTCTGAATCCGGACTATTTGAGTATTTGATTCGGACCGCAGCTAATTCTTTATTTTGGATCATTAGCCCCACTTTTGAAGTTTCCTTTTATAAAATGACTTTTATTGTTTTGAATATATATATGAAAAGAACTATAACACCATAATAAACAATCTTGATTAGCTGATAATCATTAGCCGGTCGAGAAAGTGCGCGTTTACGGATGCCGAAATGTAATTTCTGAAAACACCAGACTTGTACTTTTAAAAGTTAGTATGTGGATTTTCGGTAAAATAGTTGTGCAGCCCTGCTATATGCAATTGTTTGATTACTTAAGCTAGTTACTAACAGAACATTATCTATTGAAAATTCTTTATTGGGTGAACAAGATCAAGATTAGGGTTTAAATCAATATATTATTTTGGAACTAAATTACAACCAAACCCATATAATATTTATTTAATGATCTATAAAATGTTAAAAAAATCAAATAGCTGAATATCATTAAATAAGATTCTCAGCGACATAAGTACTTAAAGACACAAATATAAAACACACCGTTATTGTGGAGTTGTTTGAAATATAAGTACAGTATTTTTGTTCAGACCTATGTTGGCCAAAGTTTTACCTCACGAAATATCATTTGAAAAAACACCGGCCTACTTCAACTGGAACCTCGCGGCACCAGAACATCTTCGGGAACTTGTTCCTCACGCCAAACTTTTACTTGTTTTGTGCAATCCTACCGAAAGAACATATTCAGATTATGCTCAGGAGGTAATATTCTACTTTTTGTCGTTCGTTGTTGAAGTATATTGCAGAATTTTAATGTAAAACGAGGGAGCGATGCTCAAATATATGGACATGACCGCCAAATCGAAGTAGTACGGTATGCAATCTGCCACAGTAGACTACCGCTGTCTTCACGACTCAGGCACACGCGGAATCGTCATAAGGTGTGCAATGCTTGATGACGACATTACCAACTTTCATACGAATCAACGAGCGTATCGGCTGCTGTTAGAACCAGTTTTTGAGGGGACGCGGCGATTTTGCTTTGCATTCGCATGTGTGCATATGGTTGGGCGGTGGATGATCTGAGGGATATTTGTTTCGTTGAGTCCAAATTCTGTACTGAAGTAGGTTTGCCATAATACTGTAGGTCAGTGTTTGAAATTTACGGTACACCATATGCTAGATCAGGGGTCGGCTACCTTTTGTCGCTCGCGGGCCAAAATAATGGCTGCAAGTCATTGGCGGGCCGCACATATTTTTAGAAAGTTTTTAGAAAACCGAACGGATGATACTTTTTATAATAAAAATGGAGCAGTAATACTTCTCTCGAATAGAATATAGATTTATTTCTTCATTGCATTGCATTTTTGGCGCCATTGAACCCTTTGCACTTAGCATCAACTTTTCTACGTTTTGTTTCTATTTGTCTAATTATAATTAAATTATGGGCTCATTAAACGAGTAATTGTGAATTTTATACTTATCAGATTATAGTATAATTTAGTCTACACGCGTCTCACAATGAATTGTGTAACGTAAAAAAGATAATCGTCAAAACAGCTGTTTTGTTACTATAATTCAGGGGAGCGTCGCAAGTCGGATCCGGCCCGCGGGCCGTAGGTTTCCGACCCCTGGACTAGATGCTGACTAAATTTGACACGATATCCGGTCACCTGGCGGTACTGGTGCAGCACAAAGCAGTTCCAATGCATCTGCATGCTTAGCTGTGATAAAGTCTGTATTTAATCTAAAATATAAAAAATACTGTCAAAGTAACCCTTATACATAGCGCACTCAACGAAGCAAGTACAGTACGACAGGTGAGAAAGTGAACGACGAATTTTGAAACGGCACGGTGAAGCGCGCGTCTCAAGAACGTTACTGGTAGCATCGGTCAAAGGTCATGAAAGTTGGCAATGCACACAAATAACGAATCCTATAGACTCTATAGAGCCCACAGAAACTTTTGTAATAATCAAAAGTAATAACCTTCTAGCGATTCATAGGTCCATTCCGTGTCCAATAATTTTTTTAGTCTACATAAAATTATTGTCATATCGACTCGATCTTAACTTTTATAACAGATAATGATGGGTCATCTCAATAAAAACACAACGTTTGAACAAATGGTTGATGATCTTCTTGTCTACTCCGCTAATTTAACAGCAAAAATGAATGAAAGTGGAACGGAAATGGCATATATTGAGCAGTTATTTAAAAAAGAGAGTACTAGCCATATACTAACAACTGGATTGTATTACTACCATTTACTAAGGTAAAAAATATTTCTCATTTTTTGAGTTATAGTACTCAGTCCTAATTATATTACAAACTTTTGCCAATACCTAAGTTTGCTGTTGTCATCATGTTTCACAGATGGTATCAAGTGTTCAACATGAGCCATATCTACATTGTAGACGGTGAGGAACTTATATCTAATCCTGCTAAAGTCATAAAAGAGGTGGGTTTACATAAACAAATTTGCCCGAAGCACAGGTGCGGTAAAATCACATCAGTCACAAAGAATCAGATACCTTGTTTCCCCTAGAATAAGACTGGGTCTTATTCCAATATTCTTCCGAAAATAAAAATCACTAGGGCTTATTTTTGGGTGATGTCTTATATTTTCATTCATCAAAAACAACATTACAAAGTATTTTGTAATTACTTGTACAACGTATAAGTCAAATTACGAGATTTCCACATATAAAAAATATGAAAACCGATATCCATTTACCTATAAATAACACGTTTTCATTCAACATATCTGCAAAACATATTATCAATCATTTAAAACGTGTAGCAGAGATTTTTTGCTATCAGCTAGGTCAAATATTGTGCTACCGACTAGGTCTTATTATGAGGAGGGCTTATATTAAAACCATCTTTAAAATTCGGGCTAGGTCTTCGGTGTATTGACAAAACAGGCTGATACATACTGAGTTTTCAATTCGTGGCATCGGATGCATGCACGGATATTGAATATATATTATGTCGTCAAATTACACCAAAATGTTTTTTTTGACGCTCTAGAAGTATGTGTACCAATATGGGGGAACTAATTTTGTTCGCCTACTTTACATCAAGTTTTGTAAAGAGACTGATTTGCACAGGGGGATATTCACTTGGCTAACACAGACAGTCCCCGAACTCGTAATAAATTTAGAACTAAAACAAAGGAAAATCGAAATCAAATTATGGCCTAACCATAACGTGGTACACATTCTACGGGAATCCCATTTTTTGGTTAACAAAATCTCTTACATATCGCAGCTTATTGAAAATTTGATATCAAAACACAAACTAGACAAGAGAGCGATGCTCAAATATAATATGGACATGAAGACCACCTTTCAATACCGGTACCGTCAAAAAGCTTCCGATTTTCGAGTAGCAAGAGAGTAGCACAAGAGAAGACGAAGAACCGCTACAAATAAGTAGTATTCATTTTAGTATAATTAGGTCATCACACAAAATTTAGAAGTAATAAACGAATCACAGTTTTCAAATAAAGAAAAATCATAGCTTTCTATCTAACAATACAACCTTAACCCGCTGAAACTTTCAAAGCAATTGGCCCAGTAGTTAATGAGGAAATCGCTTATTTTCACACAATAACAACAAAAAGAAAAATACTACAAGAAAAACAATATGATAAAAAAAGATCAATATGTTCATTTCGTGCCCAATAACAAGCCGCTGCCAAATTCTCTGTACAAAAACAAAATAAACTAAATAATGAAAAAAAAAAATTGTTTCGAACAGATTGAAAATTTTTCATCATTGAATTTGCTTTATATATTTACATCATTTTCGAACACGCAAGTGGACCTATGATTCGTTTTGGTATTTTTGTTGTTGTTCTTGTTTTTGTTTTTTCATCATGATAAAATCGCTTTTATCTTCGAATACTGGACCAATTGCTTTGAAAAATTTCAGTGGCTAAAGGTTGATTTTTTTTCCAGAAGGCTATTACTTTAATCTATTTTTGAATTTTCTATGAATCCTATGAGATCTGATATTTCATTCAAAATTTCGCTGTATTACCTTTCACGCATGGGAACACTGTTTAAAACTCATTTCAAGCGATTCCGCCAAGCGTGACGGCTGATTTTGCAAATCCTTGCTACTGGGAACTCGGAAGTTTTTTTGAGGGTACCGGTAACGTGAAAGGTAAGAAGAACTGCTTCGCTCTGGTCTACGTGTCTATATATTTGAGCATTGTTCTCTTGTTAACTAATAATCATCTGCATCGTAATTTATTCAATTTTCTTGTTTTGTTGTTTTTGTTCACTTTAGGTTCAAGACTTTCTTCACATTCCAGAGTTCGTCTTACCAGAAAATATTCCGAAGGGACCGTACGGATTTTCTTGCTTTGCCAAACCTTTAGTTGTAGAAAGAAACGGCGTTTTAGTCGCTGGAACAGCACGTATTTATTGTATGACTGGAAAGGGAAGGACTAGAAAAGGAGCATGGGGTGTCGCGAACCCCGAATATTTGGAAAAACTGCGCTCATTTTTTGCACCATTCAATGAAAAACTTTATAAACTACTCGGTCGTAGATTTAATTGGTGACGATTGATAAAAATTTATTTCAACTGCCTCATCCAGCACATACTATAGGCTCTAGAAATTATACCTCTTGATTTATAGCATTAAAAATATTCTATGATAATAAAATATTAAATTTGTTAGTATTGGATTACTCGCTCGCTTCCATGACCATGTGCTAGAAAACTCTTCTCAGTTTCCAACTAACTCGACTCCAACCAGCACAAGATATTTGTACATGTAAGACATGTAGGCCTAAAAGTAATAAATGGTTTCATTGAGAAAACGGGCATGTTGGAAATACTCTATTACATGCCTCAATACCAACATTTTTATGCCATATAGTCAAGTTAATAAGGTTTAGTCACTTTAATATTGTGAACTATATTCAAAACTGCTGAATTCCCAACAACAATTATCGTGTCACTATTTTACTGAACATTTACTGTCCACTTTGAATATGCCCGCCCATGAAGGAAATATTTTGGAGGCAGACATGACATATAAATTAATGCGATTTCTGAGTTTTCAAATTCCATGGGTTATTTGTGCTCTTTACTTCGACAAAATATTTTCAAATTTCTTTGTCAAAGAGAAAGTAGTATTCTGCCAATAACCTACAAAAGTGTAGAATAATCAACACCCTAATTTTATTGCCTAATATTAAATTTTCCAGTATGCAATAATAATTTTAAAATGAGACCCCTTCAATTACTTCAGTATAAGAAGATAATAATTAAAAACCTGAATCCGACGTGACGTAGTTACAGAGATGTGCATTCTCTTTTACTACAAATTTTGAAGCTATGTTGTTTAAAGTTTGAGGTACCTTTACGAGGGTTTGCTGAATTAAATTTAAAAAAAAAACGCAAAAGAAACTAAATATGAAATATACAGCAGTTCTTTAATGTTGCATGATTCATCCATCCACAATTGAAACCTAGAATTTAAAAAAATATATAATGAAAATTTTAAAGTGATTAGTAAACTTGCTTTACCGAATGTTTTGCTCTGTGATTGCATGCTTTGAAGGGCATCAAATCTTTTTGAATTGTATTTCAATGGGAACCCCGTGAGATGGGACAGTCATAAATTGCTATGGGGTGGGATGGGACAGAAAAATATTTCCCATGGACAAGCCTGGTAATCTGTCGCTAACTTTTTAAAAGAACAATCTTTGTATGTTGTTTGTTGGCATAGCTTCTTATTATCTCAATTGTAACTATCCGTCGATACTTTGATATAGCAACGGAGCAATACTACTGCTATAGCCTAATCAACAGCCCGACGGTATGCATTTTGACGCCACGGCCAGGGTATGCAAGCAGAGCTCGCTGACAAGGCGCATTGAAGATAGGAATCAATGAATTAGATATTAGAGAATGAAAATTTGGTACTTTGAAATACTTTGCTTCTTACCCTCATATATTACTCCTCTTTTGGTTGATGCATGATATAAGTCCCATACATGATAAGCACCAAAATGAATGGCACAAATACAAAAGCAGCTATCCACATTCTCCTGTAGAAGTCAATTCTTTTTTCACTCGAAACAACAGAAAATCCAATTATTTTCGATCGTTGTACGAAACTAGACGCCATGATTTTGTGTAAAACGAATTCATCTGTAATTAACAATTTAACTTTGATCTAGGGTTAATTGATTTTATCTAACTCAATGTATATTCTTCGGCTTACTCGGCTTGCTGTCAAACTGCTTGAAAATTTGCCACATCTCATCATAGATTTCAGATTTGAGAAAAAAACGCTTTTTTTACTACTGGATCAATTGCTTCAAAATTTTTCAGTGGTTGAAGATTGTTATTGTTGATAGAATATTTTCCTTTGTTGGCTCTATGGAAGTTGTTCCGAAACTCCAGGTCGAGACCAGGGGTGGATTATGCCCCATTGGTGCCCTTAGCACTAAAGACTTTGATGCCCCCTTATGTGTAATTTAATTATAAAAACAATAAACCACAGTGTGTGTAAAGTCCACTGAAAATATTCACAACCAACAGTAAATAAACAACTTTAACGAACATTTTTAGAGTTTTTAACTGTGATATATAGCCGAAATATATATCGGCCGTTTAATGCTAATATGATATATCGGCAAACACGCAATATCGGGCCGGTATATCGGTTGAGCTCTAATCCTGAGGGAGTGTGACAATAAAGATTCATTCCTTCAGTCTCACTGTGAATCGAAATACCAAAGTATACAAGTCACAACTGCAGTTTGAAATTTTACCGGCATCTAGTAGTATACCTCAGAGTGGTCAAGGTTGCTAGGTTGAAGGACCGCAAAAACTTTTGAGGAGGTCTCGCGGGCCGCAAGTCGGAGAAAACCCAAAAGTGATCGAAATATTGCGAGTTTACTTACTTTAAATTTATTAAACAACGAGAGTTTACCGTTCTGATCAGACTATTATTATGTTGCATGGGTGGTGTTCTTTTAAAGAAGATATATAGAGCCTTCAGTTATTGTAAAATTAATTCCCGAGAATTACCGTTGTATTTTCCGCATCTCGCGTTTAATGTCGCTTCAAATTATATTCTTTCGTGACAGATATTACTTGAAATCAAACTAGACACTGTGTGATGGGCGAGGAAATGCGTGTCCGCCGTGTTTTCCTTATGTCACCTCTTTTGTGACACTCATTTTATTACGAATTGTTATATATATTTGAGTAATTCAAAAAACTTGCAGCTTGAGCAAGCTTAGTGCCATCGTCAAATAACAACCAAGTCCGTCTAAGTTGGTATTTCGGGACCTAGCTAAAAAAAAACTGGATGGCGCGGCGTTAAGTCGGCTCTGCGTTTCGTCACTACTGTCACATGACCCACGCTTGAAAACAGATGAGTGTTTTTACTAACATAAAGGCACAAAGCGTTAGAAAAAAAAGGGTTCGACTCTCGGGATCCCAACCCCAGTTGGAATAGCTAAAAATAAACTTAAAAACGTTCTGCTATCAGATACAGATATACGCTAAAATTGTTTTGTGGGCTGCACGGAATGTATCAGCATGACAGGTTTTGTACCACCCTTGTCTACCTTATCAAGAAACTCCCGACTTCGCTGACCACTAGATCGTTGAAATGCGATCGTGGAACCGCCACACAGTGCAAATAGTTCTTTGGTCCAATTGTTGAGGGGAAAAGATTTGTTTTTAAAACAAAAACGCAGCATCAAGGAGAATACTGGAAAGAAAAAACAACAACAATTTAAGAAAACGACTCATACCCATAGGCCCATTTCGTGTCAAATAAGTTTCAGTGTTTATTTTTAATAAAGAAGGTTATTTTATGATACTCGAAGACGAAAAATAAGCGAACATTTTGAAGTTTGAGTCGTCTGGTGAACTCGTAATATTTTAAAAAACACTGATAAACTATGCAAAATTCTGCTCCATAATTTCTGTTGTGCCCCTCTTTGCTTGGTGCCCTAAGCACTTGCTTATATTGTTTAAATGGTTAATCCAGCGCTGGTCGCGACCCACAGCAGGGTCTTGAAAAAAAAATTCGGGGTCTAACTTCCGTGAACATTCAGTCACATATTTTGAAAGTTAGAAAGTTTCCGCTGCTTTATAATAATCATGATAAACGAAATTGAATTCTCGATTGGTAAAACAGTTATCTGCATACGGGAAGATAACGCGCTGGTCAATTTAAGAAACAAGTGACCGTTTTCTGAGTCTGTGGCAGATTACTATACAAGCGAAGTCATGCACTCAATTTGGGGTTTATTTCATTTAAAACAGGTGCAATTTTTTCAGGCAATTGTGTGGAACTGCAGTACTTTGGATTTTATATTTAGTTTCTTTTGCGTATTTTTTTATTTGATCCAGCAATCCCTCGCAAACGTACCTCAAACTTTAAACAGCCTAGCTTTGAAAACACGCAGATTTGTAGTCTGAAACTAACGTGAACATGTGTTAACTAAAAGAGAATGCACATCTCAGTGACTGCGTCACGTCGGATTCTGATTTTTAATTATTATCTTCTATACTGAGGTGATTGAAGGGGTATCATTTTAAAACTTATTGTTGCATACTGGGAAGATTTTAAAATTAGGAATAAAACTTGAACGCGTAGGGTGTCGATTTTGTTGTACTGCTATGGGTTATCGGCAAAATTTTATATCGGTTCCTTGTGACGAATTTTTCTTTTGACAAAGAAATGTATTTTCATTTTGTCAAAGTAAAGAGAACAAATAACCCATGAAATTTGAAAACTCAGAAATCATAAATTATATGTCATGTCTGTCTCCAAAATATTTCCTTCGGGGTCGGGCATATTTAAAGTGGAAAGTAATTGTTCAGTAAAATAGTGACTCGATAATTGTTGATGATAATTCAGCAGTTTTAAAAAATAGTTCACAATATTAAAGTGACTAAATCTTAGTAACTTGAATATATTGCATAAAAATGTTGGTATCGAGGCTTATAATAGAGTATTTCCGACATTCCCGTTTTCTCAATGAAACCATTTATTACTTTTACGCTACATATCTTGCATGTATAAGTATCTTTTGCTGCTGGTTGGGGTCGAGGTAGATAGAAACTGAGAAGCGTTTTCTAGCACACTCGTCTTCATGGAAGCGAGCGGGTAACCCAGTACTAACATATTTATTATCATAGAATATCTTTTTTTGCTGTAAATCAAGTGGTATAATTACTATAGTCTATATATAGTATGTGCAGGATGTGGCAGTTGAAATAACTTCTAATCGGTCGTCACCAATTAAATCTGCGACCGAGTAGTTTATAAAGTTTTTCATTAAATGGTGCAAAAAATGAGCGCAGTTTTTTCATATATTCGGGGTTCGCGACACCCCATGCTCCTTTTCTAGTCCTTCCCTTTGCAACCATACAAAAAGTACGTTCTGTTCCAGCGACTAAAACGTCGTTTCTTTTTACAACTAAAGGTTTGGCAAAGCAATAAAATCCAGACGGTCCCTTTGGAATATTTTCTGGTAAGACAAACTCTGGAATGTGAAGAAAGTCTTGAACCTAAAGTAAACAAAAACAACGAAACAAGAAAATTAAATAAATGATGATGCAGATGATTATTAGTTAACAAGAGAGCAATACTCATATATATGGACACGTAGACCAGAGCGGAGCATTCCTCACCTTTGACATAACCGGTACCCTCAAAAAACTACCGAGTTTCCAGTAGTTCTATAAGTTTTAAAACAGTGTTCTCGTGCGTAAAAGTTAATACAGCAAAATTTTGAATGAAATATCAGATCTCATAGGATTCATAGAAAATTTAGAAATAAATTAAAGTAATAACCTTTTGCCAAAAAAAATCAATCTTTGACCTCTGAAATTTTCAAAGCAATTGATATAGTATTCGAAGAAAAAAGCGATTTTATAATGATGAAGAAAAACAACAAGAACAACAACAGAAATATCAAATCGATTCATAGGTCTACTGACGTGTCCAAAAATGATGTAAATATATGAAGCAAAGTCAATGATGGAAGTTTTTTTATTCTGTTCAAAACCATTTATTTAGTATATTTCGTTTTTGTAGGCTACTGAAAATTTTGCATCGGCTTGTTATTGGACACGAAATGGACCTATTGGACGTTTTTTTTCATGTTGTTGTTTTTGTTGGTATTTATTTCTTGTTGTCATCGTATCGTTTCTTATTAACTACTGGATCGATTTCTTTGAAATTTCCCGCGGTTGAAGATCGTATTTTTCGCGAGAAGTTCGCTATTACTTTTATATATTCCAAAACACTGTGGGCTCTGTGTGATTCGTTTTGTACTTCGAAATTTTGTGTGATGACCTCTTGAAAATGAATACTAATTATTTGTAGCGTTTTTTTGACCTCCCTCGTGCTACGCGAAAATCGGAAGTTTTTTTACGGTACCGGTACTCAAAGGTAGATTCGCTTTGATTTTCGTGTCCATATATTTGAGCATCGCTCTCTAAACAAAAAAGAGTACTCCCTTAGTTTGTGTACCAGGTTAGGGTTATGCACAAAAATGGCAAATTTAATACACCATGCATCCATCTGATGCAATGGATTCAAAATTCAGTATATATCAGCCTGTTTTGTCAATTCACACATGGTTTTTGCCGCACCTGTGATTTTGGCAAATTTGTCATGAACACCCACCTCTTTTATGACTTTAGCAGGATTAGATATAAGTTCCTCACCGTCTACGATATGGATATCGCTCATGTTGAACACTTTATACCATCTGTGAAACATGATAACAACAGCAAAGTTATGATGCCAACAGAAGGACTTGTCACAACGCGTCACGTTTGATAAAATGATATATATTATTGGTATCTTTAATGAAGTTATGATTCCCTCCTCCGAACAAGATGCCTCATTGATACCAACTGCTAGCATGACAAAAAACTATTGCTTTGGCAAAAGTTTGTAAAATAATTAGGACTCAAAAAATGAGCAATATTATTTACCTTAGTAAATGATAGTAATACAATCCAGTTGTTAGTATATGGTTAGTACTCCTTTTTTTAAATAACTGCTCAATATATTCCATTTCCGTTCCACTTTCATTCATTTTTGCAGTTAAATTAGCGGAGTAGACAAGAAGATCATCAACCATTTGTTCAAACGTTGTGTTTTTATTGAGATGACCCATCATTATCTGTTATAAAAGTTAAGATCGAGTCGATATGACATTAATTTTATGTGGACTAAAAAAAATCATTGGACACGAAATGTACGTATGGATCGCTAGAGGGTTATTACTTTTGATTATTTCAAAAGTTTTTATGGCATTCGTTTAGTGTGTGCATTACCGATTTTCATGACCTTTGACCGATGCTTCCAGTCAATTTTTTGAGCGGACGCTCGCTTCCCTGTGCCGTTTCAAAATTCGTCATTCACTTTCTCACCTGTCGTACTGTATTTGTTTCGTAGAGTGCGGTGTGTGAAGAGATATTTTAACGGTATTTTTTATAATATAGATTAAATACAAACTCTATTATCGCTAAGCATGCCGATGTATTGGAACTGCTTTGTGCTGCACCGGTACCGCCAGGTGACTGGACATCGTGTCAAATTTAGTCAGCATCTAGTACAAGAGTACTCAATTTCCCAGGTAAAAGGGCCGCATTTTGACCACAAAAGATGCAACGGGCCGCAGAATAATATTACCATTTATTTGTACTATTTAATTCGTTTATTGGTTCGATACTGATGTTTAATTTACTTTTTGTATTCATATTTATGCATTTTAGAACATAGTTAATAATGGGGCAATCGTAAGTTTCGTATGAAAGTTGGTAATGTCGTCATCAAGTATTGTACACCTTATTGCGATTCCGCGTGAATCGTGAAGACTACGGTACCGGTAGTCTACTGTGGCAGATTGCAAACCGTACTACTTCGTTTTGGCGGCCGTCCATATATTTGAGCATCGCTCCCTCGTTTTACATTAAAATTCTGCTATATAATACAACGACGAAAAAGTAGAATATTACCTCCTGGGCATAATCTGAATATGTTCTTTCGGTAGGATTGCACAAAACAAGTAAAAGTTTGGCGTGAGGAACAAGCTCTCGAAGATGTTCTGGTGTCGCGAGTTCCCAGTTGAAGTAGGCCGGTGTTTTTTCAAATGATATTTCGTGAGGTAAAACTTTGGCCAACATAGGTCTGAACAACAAAAATACTGTACTTATATTTCAAACAACACCACAATAACAGTTTGTTTTATAATTTTGTCTTCAAGTATTTAAATCGCTGAAAATCTTATTTGATGATATTCAGCTATTTGATTTGTTTAACATTTTATAGATCTTAAAATAAATATTTTATGGGTTTGTTTGTAATTTGGTTCCAAACTAATATATTGTTTAGAACCTTAATCTTGATCTTCGTTCACGCAATAGAGGATTTTGAATAGATAATGTTCTGTTAAGAGCCAGCTCAAGTAATCAAACAATTGCATATAGTATTAGATTATTTCATATATTAGGGTCTTAACAACTATACAAAATTAGTTACAATGTAAACATTTTTACGTGTATGCTTTTAGGCCCAATTTATATATATGCGGTCGTTCAAAAAAGTGGGGTTCTTTGGGTGCTACTTTGATCATCGGGTGCATACGAAGTAAACTCCTAAGAGCACCTGTTCCACACTTCTCAACCCCGATTCCAATGACATCTGGTATGCGCTGAACTGGTTGCTGAAGATATAAAATTGCTATCATGGAAATCGCCTTTCTTGAGAAGTTATATATATTTTTCATAAGCTTGAAATGATTGCTGCTATTTTATAGAAATGAATTTATTATATATTATAGTAAAAGTAAGAATAGAACAAAATAAACTTTTCAAAATCTAATAATCTCACCCTTCGTGAAACTTTCACCAAAATTAATAGCTTATCGCGTTCCCTCTTCTTTGGGGTCAAAAGTTTGGTCAGTGGGTATGGAAAAGGAGACATGGTGAACCTTTTTTTTATAGTTGAATAGTGTGTCAAATGAGTTACAACAACCGACTCCGGTTACGTTAGTATGTAATGACATTTTGCATGGCCTGCGTTTACAATTTGGAATCAAATTGCATAATAAGATGCAATTTTGAAACATAAAAAATAAAATCATACCAAAATGAAGAAAAACGCTTCGAAATGGTGGCAAACCTCACCTTTTGAAAAACTTTTGATAACGCTCTTTTGGCTGCTTCATATTCAACTAATAGTTTATCGCGATGTCTTTCCTTTGATGTTTTCTTGTAATCTTGTTTGATTTCATATTCAACCCACTCATTTTCTTAAATAGTTCGAAAGAAGTGAATATATTTTCAATAAAATTGACTATTATATGATATTTTTCAGTAATCTTCAAAGCGACACTGTTATCCGATCACAATGTTTTATCGCAATGTAGTTCTGATTGTTCCCGCTTGGATATCAACAAAGTGACATTATGAGATATAAACTTTAGAAAAAGTGAAAGTAGATGACGAAATCTCTCTAGAAATAACTGAGAGCGAGGTGCAGAAATAAGAGCCCACGGTCAGCCAGACTTTACGGTAACCTGACGCAAACTTTTCAAAACAACAATTTTCGTATGTTGTCAATAGGCATAACTTCTTATTATCTTAACTATAAGTATTTATTAATCCCAACGGTATGTGCTACTATACTGCTATCGCCTAATCAACAGCCAGCCAGCTTACCTTTGACGCCACAGTCAGCCTACGTCTGTGCTAGCGATCAGAACGCGTTGACAAGACGCATTAAAGATAGGAATCAATGAATGAGAGGAGCTCCGGAAGTATTTGTACCTAGATGACGCACAACCTGAACAAATCTAACTTGGTATACATGCTATGTTCAGGTAGATGACGCACAACCTGAACAACTCTAACTTGGTATACATGCTATGTTCAGGTTGTGCGGCATCTTGGTACGCATACTTCGGGAGCACCGAGTTAGATATTAGAGAATGGAAACTTGGTACTGTGTATTATTTTGCTTCTTACCTTCATATATTATTCCTCTTTCTGGTTGATTCATGATATAATTCCCATAAATGATAAGCAATAAAATGAATGCCACAAATACCAAAGCAGCGATCCACATTCTCCTATTGAAGTCAATTCTTTTTTTACTCGAAACAACATAAAATCCGAATGTTCTCAATCGTTGCACAAAACATGATTTTGTGTAAAGCAAATTCATCCGGAATTACCAACTTAATTTTGATCCAGGATTAATTAATTTTATCTAACTCAAACTATATTCTTCTGCTTACTCTGCTTGCTGTCAAACTGCTTGAAAAACTGCCACATCTCGTCAGGGATTACAGCTTTGTACCCTGCGGGCGTAATAATTTGCTGTTATTATTACGTAATGAATTCGCGTAGCAATCAATGAGGTTCTAATGTCATTTCAAGCAAATTCATTCAAATTGATCAATCTAAGTGTCTGGTATAAGAACCTCTACCCATAAAATAAGGACGTTTCTTAGAAATAAGTACAAAAACATTTTCTAAGACAAAAACCTTCAAAATAAAGACAAATCTTAGAAATAAGGACGTTATGGCAGCCCTGGCTATAGGAGACCCTTGTTATCGGTCGTTTTGTCTGTCCAGATCTCGCGTCTTAACGGCTGGACCGATCTAGTGAAATTTCACACGCGGGTTTATCCTGTCACCCTAGTACTGTGCGATTTGTAGAAGATTCGGATTGGAGTTCCGTTTCCATGGTAACAACGAAAAAACTCGCCGAACGTTATGAAACTTCCAATATTTTCACAATTCTCGTTAACCATTTTCGAATATTTTTTGGTTAACCATGTCGAAAATTGAAATCCCCAAAACGCCACCTTCCGCAGAAGAAACACTCTTTCGATTAAGTCCTCTTTCGTCTCGATACTCCAGGAACTTGAGAAGCTTTAGGGAATTTAGTGGACGTTATTTTTTTTAATTTTTAGCCACATTTTATCAATCACGCAAGTATGACTAAAAAACGCGCAGCGTTTGAAATGAACTGGAAATGAGCTTACTCGGCCTGCTGCCAAACTGCTTGAGAAACTGCCACATCTCGTCATAGATTTCAGATTTGAAAAATATCGTTTTTTTCAACTACTGGACCAATTGCTTCGGAATTGTTTAGTGGTTGAAGATTGTTATTGTCGATAGAATATTTTCTCTTGTTGGCTCTATGACATTGGTTCCCAAACTCCAGGTCGCGACCCACAGCGGGGTCTTGACAAGATTTTTCGGGGTCTAACTTCCGCTAAACATTCATTCACATAATTTGAAAGTTAGGAAGTTTTTGCTGCTTTATAATAACCATGATAAACGAAATTGAATTCTCGATTGTTAAAACAGATATCTGCATACGGGAAGATAACGCGCTGGTCAATTTAAGAAACAAGTAACAGTTTTCTAAGTATATGGCAGATTACTATCCAAGTAAATACAAGTCTTGCAATCAATATGGGTTTTATTTCATTTAAAATAGATGCAATTTTTAAAAGTTCACAATATTAAAGTGACTAAAATTAAGTAACTTGATTATATCATAAAAGTATTGGTATTGAGGCTTATAATAGAGTATTTACAACATTCCCGTGTTCTCAATGAAACCATTTATTACTTTTACGCTACATATTTTACATGTATAAGTATCTTGCGCTGCTGGTTGGGGTCGAGGTAGATAGAGATTTCCTAGCACACTCGTCTTCACGGAAGCGAGCGGGTAACCCAGTACTAACAAATTTATTATCATAGAATATCTTTTTATTGCTATAAATCAAGTGGTATAATGTCTATAGTCTATTCTATAGTATGTACAGGATGACGCAGTTGAAATAACTTCTAATCGATCGTCACCAATTAAATCTGCGACCGAGTAGTTTATACAATTTTTCATTGAATGGTGCAAAAAATGAGCGCAGTTTTTCCATATATTTGGGGTTCGCGACACCCCATGCTCCTTTTCTAGTTCTTCCCTTTCCAGTCATACACAACGTACGTCCTGTTACAGCGACTAAAACGCCGTTTCTTTCTACTACTAAAGGTTTGGCAAAGCAATAAAATCCAGACGGTCCCTTTCGAATATTTTCTGGTAAGACAAACTCTGGAATGTGCAGAAAGTCTTGAACCTTAAAAATGAGAGATTTATATAAACGAGAGTCATGACAAATTTTTCTAATAGCAATATATAATTTAATTATTTAGTTGAATTAATTTCTGTGCGTAGAGCATTGAAATAATATAAACAACTTGTATTTATCGATGAAAATCGAAAATTGAAAAAAATGCTGCTTTAAAGCATCTATCGTTGAATCTGGGGTTTACTCTCTGATTCCTCTAATTAATTTGATCTGGAATTAAAGTTATTGGTCGAATAGTTTATGTACACCCACCTCTTTTATGACTTTAGCAGGATTAGATATAAGTTCTTCACCGTCTACAACGTATATATCGCTCATATTGAACACATTATACCATCTGTATGAAATATAAATATTGAAAATAATTACAGTAGCGTAGTGTCAAACTGCTTACGACATTTTGCATCTACATCGATGTGTCACGATTGGCGAAGCGAAAAAAACTAGTTACTAGTACTTCATTCTATAAGTTTTTCATCTTTATTAGGACTGAGAAAAAAACATCAAAAAAATGAGGGAGAAAAGCTCAAATATATGGACAGAAGGTCCAATAACTAACCGCAGTGTCGAAAGCCGACGCTACTCACACCTAGCAGTAGAACCGAGTTTGCAAAAGTAAAACGTCACGATCGGCGGAATAAAAACGGCGTTCCCATAAACCTAAACTAATAGTAATTTAATAATAGCCTTCTAGTGACATCAACAATCTGTTAACCACCGAGAATTACAAAGAACTTGGTCCAGTAGTTGATGAGAAAAGCGATTTTCCATAACAAGATGAAAAATACTAACATTAACAACAAACATAAGAATGGCGTCTACCTTAGTAAATGATAGTAATACAGTCCAGTTGTTAGTATATGGTTAGTAATCTTTTCTTTTTTTAACTGCTCAATATATAACATTTCATATCCGCTCATATTCATTTTTTCATTTAAATTGGCGGAGTAGAGAAGAAGGTCATCAACCAATTGTTCAAACGTTTTTGTTGCGTTAAGAGTATGCATCAATATCTGTTATGGGATGCATAAATAAAATCATTAAGATTCGTCCATGCTATTATTTACATGTTGTTGGGAAAATCTGAAAAGCAAGTTTCGAAAAATTTAATTTGAAATACCAATCATATTAATGTTATAAACGACATCGATACCAAAACAAGAGTTCAATCACGAATGCCAAATTAATAAAGTTCACGCCTACGCGACATTCTATTGAATATCCTGTACAGATTATAACAATAACATTATAACAAGACAGAAATTAAAAAATGAAATGCCTTTGTAACTATAAGTGCTTGAATCATGAGCATAAAGAAGAAATACAATATAAGTCGATAGATTGTTACCTCCTGGAAATAATCTGAATATGTTCTTTTTGTAGGATCGCACAAAACAAGTAGAAGTTTGGCGTTAGGAACAAGTTCCCGAATATATTTTGGTGTCTCGAGTCCCCAGTTGAAGTAGGCCGGTGTTTTTTCAAATGATATTTCATGAGGTAAAACGTTGGCCAACTTAGGTCTGAACAAAAATATTTCAAAGATAATATAACTTAAGTGACGGTTTGTTTGATACTATTATACCCACGGCTTTTGCCTCGATATATTTTGGTTTATAATATGATGCTCCGTGTCTGTAATTTAAATCAGTGATGTCCTCAGACCAGCGAATTTATTTCATAACAAGCTTTTCGTCTTAAATTTGTCGCGAATTATGTATATGGGTTTTGGAATAATTTCGGAGTTTTAGACAGTCTTGGAAAAAAATATAAAGTGGAATGCTTGGTGAAAATTGACATATTTATGAAATGGTGTCATCAACATGTGTTTGTTTATTGAAAAGTTCAAAATATTTTTCCAGAAAATTCTTATATATAAATCTTCACTGCTAAAAATGGGGCAATAACTCAGACTTCAATTGATATATCATTAAAAGTGTTATAAATTTTTCTTTTCCAAAAACAGGAACAATGAAAAAAAACACGTTTCATTAACTGAAATCATAGTTTACCTTAAAGGACGACAGACATTTAATGTTAGGGTTCGAATTTCCGTCTGGTTTATACATATGACGTTGAAAACTTTAGTTAATATTTAATCATCTGACATTACAGATATTCAAGAAATAAAATCGATTTGAAAGTTGTTCTAAATTTTCCTTCGCCCAATATATACTTATCGCATAAAATATTTGTTTCAGGTTCGAAGAGTCACCATGAAAATTAATTAAAATGAAAACATTTTTACGTATATGCTTTTAGGCCCAATTTATATAAATCCGGTCGTTCAAAGAAATGGGCTTCTTTGGGTGCTGTTTTGATCATCGGATGCATACGAAGTAAAGCCCTAAGAGCACCTGTTCCACACTTCTCAACCCCGATTCCAATGACATCTGGTGCACGCTGAACTGCTGGCTAAAGATATGAAATTATATTTTAATTTGGAGTGGAATGAAATAAATTCTGTTTGCTCTGCTCGTGCTGAGCAACATAAAGAACGTGATTGATATCGCACCGCGATGGTTTGTAGATTCAAAGTTAGTGGAGAATACTTTCATCGGGCAACGCTGTTGGCTTAGTTGGCCATCCACAACTATTAATTCAAATTAATGACTGCACAGTCATTAATATTTTCGTGATAATTATCTAAAACGAAGCCAAACGAGTTCATTTAGGTTCTCCGAAAATTAAAACTACTAAAACCTACTGCGGACATCAGTAAGCTTAAAATGCTCAAATATGTGAACATGAAGGCCAAAACCAAGTAGTACCAGTATGGATATCAAATCTTTCACAGTAGCGATGGTCTTACCGACTTCGACTGACCACCGGATCGCTGAAATGCGACCGTAGGACAACCTCGCGGAGGGAAATTTTAAATTTTGATGACGTCATCGTATAAAACTTCAAATTGAAAAACGATTCCCACAGAAATTCTTGAAATAACTAAGTAATAGCCTTCTAGCAATAAATGTGAAGTGAAAATTTCAAAGCAATCAGTCCAGTAGAAAAGCGATTTTTTTCACAACAACAACATAATAACAAAACAGTCCATAGGTCCATTTCGTGTCCAATAATACCAGGACATATCTACATGACTGAACCAGTTTTAATATATTATATTCCAATTCACACTTGATTATAACATTTTCATGCATTGCTAATTTTTATTATTATGAGCTGATGATTTCGCTGTATCAATACTAATAAGCGGCTGTTAATAAAATAGTGGCTTAGCGATAATAGTTTGCCAAATATGTATCATTGGAAAGTTTGACAAAAGATTTCGGCAGTAGGTATAGGTAACGCGCTACCGTGATCATCAACGAAGAATGTTGCCTCGAACTTTGCTAAAATTATGTTGTTATTATAAATGATTAATGGGAATAAATGAAAGGTTTTGTATAAAAAGCCTTTTGTAAATGATAAACAATTTTCATATACTTGAATCGTTTTTTAAATGAATTAAAACAAAACTGGCTCCGGTTGCGTTAGTGTTTACCGGCATTTTCATGACCTGTGTTTACAATTGAGAATCAAAATGCATAATAATCTGTAATTTCAAAACATAAAAAAAATAAAAGCACACCAAAATGAAGAAAAACGTTTCAAAACTGTGGCAAACCTCACTTTTTGGAAAATTTTTGCTAACGTTCTCTTGGCTGCTTCATATTCAACTAATAATTTATCGCGATCTCTTTCCTTAGATGTTTTCTGAGAATCTTCTTTGATTTCATATTTAATCCAGCCTTTTTCTTAAATAGTTCGGAAGAAATGAATATATTTTCAATAAAAATTGAATAATACTCGAGTTTTTCAGTAATCGCTAAAGCGACGTTGTTAGTAAATGGTGAAAGTCGTTAATAAACACGTCCCTTTCGAGCTCGCATTTGCGTTCTGTTTGTTGATAGTAGATGATGAAACTCTTGCCGAATTATAGTAGTATCTTAGTCTGTGAGGTGCAAAAATAAGGAACTACAGTCAGCCAGACGTTAGGGTACCCGACGCTAACATGTTAAAACAGCAATCTTTGTATGTTGTTAATTGGCATAACTGTTTATATTCTCAATTGTAACTATCCGTTAATAGCAACGGTACGTGCTACCACTGCTATAACCTAATCAACAGTCAAACGGTATGCACTTTGACACCACAGCCAGTCTATGCCTATGCTAGTGAGCGAGTGCGTTGACAAGGCGCATTAAAGATAAGAATCAATGAATTAGATTTTAGAGAATGCAAACTTAATGCTTATAATATATATATTTTGCTTCTTACCTTCATACAGTACTCCTGGCTCATTCATGGCATAATTCCCATACATGATAAGCAATAAAATGAATGCCACAAATACAAAAGCAGAGATCCACATTCTCCTATTGAAGTCAATGTTTTTTTTACTCGAAACAACAGAAAATCCAATTATATTCCATCGCTGTACAAAACTAGACGCCATGATTTTGTGTGAACAAATTCATCCGTAATTAACAACTTAAACTTTGATCTGGGATTAATTTATTGTATCTAACTCAAACTATATTCTTCAGCTTTCTCGGCTTGCTGTCAAACTTGAGAAACTGCCACATCTCATCATAGATTTCAGCTTTGTACCCTGCGGGCGTACATATTCAATGTAGGTTTCTATTTAAATTCCCTTAGCATCGCCGTGAAACTATGCCAAAAAGTTGCGTTCTGGCAGCTGCACGCGCTGCCGGAATAATATTTCCAAGAATGTAAAAAACTCTTGCCAAGTTAGTTCATACACCAAAATCGTAAGATTTCAACAGGAATGTTCATCCGAGATATCATGAAGACGCTTTGAGTAAAAAGGGCAAGAAAAATCATGAAAAATAGCTCACGGACCTACTACAATCCAAAAGTACTTGGATCAGGACCCGCTCTCCGCTAAATTCGACAAAACAAGTACGTTAATACAATAATGGAAAAAATACTTGGATCGACAGCAACCTACGTAGGTTTGAATCAGGGCCGGATTTAAGCCATAAAAATTCCGAATGGACCTGTGGTTAAAAAGAAAAGCGATTTTTTCCAACAACAACAAGAAGAAAAATAAGATGAATACTAAAAATAACAATTTGACAAAACGATTTATAGGACCACTTTGTATTCAGTAAATGAAGGTACCATTTTTATCGAAATTTTACCGTCGTACTTGAGCAATGATTTAAAACTTGAACAAGTGTATCAAATTGTGATACGTGGGCCCGAATAAATTATCCATTTACTTTTCCGTAAATATATAAAATAAAATGCATGAAGCGCAGATTCTTTTTCTATCTCCCGATGTAACTGTTTTACTATGAATATACAATTAGTGGTAAATACAGCCACAACATATCAATATACTGTATCGTATGTTGGCGCTGTCTTAAGGATGTACGCCCACAGGGTACAAAGCTGAAATCTATGATGAGATGTGGCAGTTCTTCAGGCAGTTTGACAGCAAGCCGAGTAAGCTGAAGAATATAGTTTGAGTTAGATAAAATATTTCTGGATTAAAGTTAAGTTGGTAATTACGAATGAATTTGTTTTACACAAAATCATGGCGTCGGGTTTTGTACAACGATTGAAGATAATTGGATTATCTGTTGTTTGGAGTAAAAAAAATTTGACCTCAACAGGAGAGGAGTCATATATGAAGATAAGAAGCAAAGTATTTTTAAGTACTTAATTTTCCATTCTCCAATATCTAATTCATTGATTCCTATCTTTAATGCGCCTTGTCAACGCGCTCTGCTCGCTAGCGCAGCCACAGATTGGCTTTAGAATAACGGGAACACCGTTTTTATTCCGCCGAGCGTGGCGTTGTACTTTTGCGAACTTGGTGCTACTGCTAAGATTATCACAATCACAAAACAAAGTCAAATCACAAATTCGACAATTCTGCGCTAATAAATGGGATCAACATTTTATACACAGTGACCAAGCGTTTCATTACAAGACAATTTTCCCCTCAATTGAAGACAGCATCAAGAATTCCACTTGGTCACCACGAATAATGGACAAAATTTTATTTCGACTTCAGACGGGACATTGCTGTTCAAATGGGCACTTCCATAAAATAGGATGTCATAATAATAGACTTTGCGATTTCTGTAATGTTCCAGAGACAGTAGAACATTTTTTAATGAACTGTCGTGCATATAGAAATGAAAGACGTATAATAAAGATAAAATGCCGCGATTGTGGCATTGATTTTCAACTCAAAGCTATCTTACTCGACCCTAGCATTTTCCCTGCTCTTGTTGATTTTGTAAAATCTACCAAGAGAGTACTATAGGCATATACAAAATTTTGATTTAAATTGTCTGGCGCAAAAGACTCAAATTGTTTAAAGCGCCATATATTACCATACCACACACACATCTATCGTTGAATCTGGGTTCCTCACCGTCTACGACGTATATATTGCTCATATTGAACACCTTATACCATCTGTATAAATTATAAATATTGAAAATAATTACAAATATTGAAAATCATTAGCGTAGTGTCAAACTGCTTACGACATTTTGCATCTTCATCGATGCGTCACGATTGGCGAAACGAAATAAACTAGCACTTCATTCTATAAGTTTTTCATCATCATTGGGACTGAGAATTAAACCTCAAAAAAGAAAGCAAAGCTCAAATATATGAACAGAAGGTCCAATAACTAACCGCAGTGTCGAAAGCCGACGCGACTCATACGGAAGTGTCTTAGCACTAGCAGTAGCACCGAGTTCGCAAAAGTACAACGCCACGCTCGGCGGAATAAAAACGGTGTTCCCATTGATCTAAACTAATAGTAATTCAATAATAGCCTTCTAGTGACAACAACAATCTTTAACCAATGAGAATCGCAAAGAACTTGGTCCAGTAGTTGATGAGAAAAGCGATTTTCCATAAGATGAAAAATACTAACAATAACAACAAACATAAGAATAGCGTCTACCTTAGTAAATGATAGTAATACAATCCAGTTGTTAGTATATGGTTAGTACTCTTTTTTTTTTAAATAACTGCTCAATATGTAACATTTCCGATCCGCTGTCATTCATTTTTGCAGTTAAATTGGCGGAATAGAGAAGAAGGTCATCAACCAATTGTTCAAACGTTTCTGTTGCATTAAGATTATGGATCAATATCTGTTATGAAATGCATAAATAAAATCATTAAGATTCGTCCATGCTATTATTTACATGTTGTTGGGAAAATCTGAAAAGCAAGTTCCGAAAAATTCAACTTGAAATACCAGTCATATTGAAGTAAAAAAACTTCTTCAATACCAAAACAAGAGTTTAATCACAAATTGCCAAATCAAAAAAAATTATGGATTAAAGTTAAGTTGGTTTTTACGAATGACTTTGTTTCACACAAAATCATGGCGTCTAGTTTTGTACAGCGATTGAATATAATTGGATTTTCTGCTGTTTCGAGTAAAAAAAAACATCGACTTCAATAGGAGAATGTGGATCGCTGCTTTTGTATTTGTGGCATTCATTTTATTGCTTATCATGTATGGGAATTATGTCATGAATCAGCCAAAAAGAGGAGTAATGTATGAAGGTAAGAATCAAAATATATATATTGTAAGCATCAAGTTTGCATTCTCTAGAATCTAATTCATTGATTCCTATCTTTAATGCGCCTTGTCAACGCACTCTGCTCGCTATCATAGGCATAGACTGGCTGTGGTGTCAAAGTGCATACCGGCTGACTGTTGATTAGGCTATAGCAGTGGTCGCAGGTACCGTTAATATTAGCGGATAGTTGCAATTGAGATAATAAACAGTTATGCCAATTAACAACATACAAAGATTGCTGATTTAACATGTTAGCGTCGGGTTACTGTAACGTCAGGCTGACAGTAGTCCCTCATTTTTGCACCTCACAGACTAAGATACTACTATAATTCGGCAAGAGCTTTCGTCATCTACGATCAACAAACAGAACGCAAATGCGAGCTCGAAAGGGACGTTCGTGATTATAAACGACTTTCACCATTTACTAACAACGTCGCTTTAGCGATTACTGAAAAACTCAAATATTATTCAATTTTTATTGAAAATATATTCATTTCTTCCGAACTATTTAAAAAAAAGGCTGGATTAAATATGAAATCAAAGAAGATTCTCAGAAAACATCTAAGGAAAGAGATCGCGATAAATTATTAGTTGAATATGAAGCAGCCAAGAGAACGTTAGCAAAAATTTTCCAAAAAGTGAGGTTTGCCACAGTTTTGAAACGTTTTTATTCATGTTGGTGTGCTTTTATTTTTTACGTTTTAAAATTACAGATTATTATGCAATTTGATTCTCAATTGTAAACACAGGTCATGAAAATGCCGGTAAACACTAACGCAACCGGAGCCAGTTTTGTTGTAATTCATTCAAAAAACGATTCAAGTATATGAAAATTGTTTATCATGTACGAAAGGCTTTTTATACAAAACCTTTCATTTATTCCCATTAATCATTTATAATAACAACATAATTTTAACAAAGTTCGAGGCAACATTCTTCGTTGATGATCACGGTAGCGCGTTACCTATACGTACTGCCGAAATCTTTTGTCAAACATCCCAATGATACATATTTTGGCGAACTATTATCGCTAAGCCACTATTTTATTAACAGCCGCTTATTAGTATTGATACAGCGAAATCATCAGCTCATAATAATAAAAAATAGCAATGCATGAAAATGTTATAATCAAGTGTGAATTGGAATATAATATATTAAAACTGGTTCAGTCATGTAGATATGTCCTTCTACTTGTTTTGTGCGATCCTACAAAAAGAACATATTCAGATTATTTCCAGGAGGTAACAATCTATCGACTTATATTGTATTTTTCTTTATGCTCATGATTCAAGCACTTATAGTTACAAAGGCATTTCATTTTTTAATTTCTGTCCTATTGTTATAATCTGTACAGGATATTCAAAAGAATGTCGCGTAGGCGTGTACTTTAATAATTTGGCATTTGTGATTGAACTCTTGTTTTGGTATCGATGACGTTTATAACATTATTATGATTGGTATTTCAAATTAAATTTTTCGGAACTTGCTTTTCAGATTTTCCCAACAACATGTAAATAATAGCATGGACGAACCATAATGATTTTATTTATTGATTCCATAACAGATATTGATGCACACTATTAACGCAACAAAAACGTTTGAACAATTGGCTGATGACCTTCTTCTCTACTCCGCCAATTTAAATGAAAAAATGAATATGAGCGGATGGGAAATGTTATATATTGAACAGTTAAAAAAAGAAAAGATTACTAACCATATACTAACAACTGGACTGTATTACTATCATTTACTAAGGTAGACGCCATTCTTATGTTTGTTGTTAATGTTAGTATTTTTCATCTTGTTATGGAAAATCGCTTTTCTCATCAACTACTGGACCAAGTTCTTTGCAATTCTCGGTGGTTAACAGATTGTTGATGTCACTAGAAGGCTATTATTAAATTACTATTAGTTTGGATTTATGGGAACACTGTTTTTATTCCGCCGATCGTGACGTTTTACTTTTGCGAACTCGGTTCTACTGCTAAGTGTGAGTAGCGTCGGCTTTCGACACTGCGGTTAGTTATTGGACCTTCTGTCCATATATTTGAGCTTTTCTCCCTCATTGTTTTGATGTTTTTTTCTCAGTCCTAATAAAGATGAAAAACTTATAGAATGAAGTACTAGTAACTAGTTTTTTTCGCTTCGCCAATCGTGACACATCGATGTAGATGCAAAATGTCGTAAGCAGTTTGACACTACGCTACTGTAATTATTTTCAATATTTATATTTCATACAGATGGTATAATGTGTTCAATATGAGCGATATATACGTTGTAGACGGTGAAGAACTTATATCTAATCCTGCTAAAGTCATAAAAGAGGTGGGTGTACATAAACTATTCGACCAATAACTTTAATTCCAGATCAAATTAATTAGAGGAATCAGAGAGTAAATCCCAGATTCAACGATAGATGCTTTAAAGCAGCATTTTTTTCAATTTTCGATTTTCATTGATAAATACAAGTTGTTTATATTATTTCACTTCTCTACGCACAGAAATTAATTCAACTAAATAATTAAATTATTAGAAAAATTTGTCATGACTCTCGTTTATATAATTCTCTCATTTTTTAAGGTTCAAGACTTTCTGCACATTCCAGAGTTTGTCTTACCAGAAAATATTCGAAAGGGACCGTCTGGATTTTATTGCTTTGCCAAACCTTTAGTAGTAGAAAGAAACGGCGTTTTAGTCGCTGGAACAGCACGTACGTTTTGTATGACTGGAAAGGGAAGGACTAGAAAAAAGATATTCTATGATAATAAATTTGTTAGTACTGGGTTACCCACTCGCTTCCATGAAGACGAGTGTGCTAGGAAACGCTTCTCAGTTTCTATCTACCTCGACCCCAACCAGCAGCGAAAGATATTTATACATGTAAAATATGTAGCGTAAAAGTAATAAATGGTTTCATTGAGAACACGGGAATGTTGTAAATACTCTATTATAGGCGTCAATACCAATACTTTTATGATATAATCAAGTTACTTAATTTTAGTCACTTTAATATTGTGAACTTTTAAAAATTGCATCTATTTTAAATGAATTAAAACCCATATTGGTTGCAAGACTTGTATTTACTTGGATAGTAATCTGCCATATACTTAGAAAACTGTTACTTGTTTCTTAAATTGACCAGCGCGTTATCTTCCCGTATGCAGATATCTGTTTTAACAATCGAGAATTCAATTTCGTTTATCATGGTTATTATAATGCAGCAAAAACTTCCTAACTTTCAAATTATGTGAATGAATGTTTAGCGGAAGTTAGACCCCGAAAAATCTTGTCAAGACCCCGCTGTGGGTCGCGACCTGGAGTTTGGAAACCAATGCCATAGAGCCAACAAGAGAAAATATTCTATCGACAATAACAATCTTCAACCACTAAACAATTCCGAAGCAATTGATCCAATAATTGAAAAAAACGATATTTTTCAAATCTGAAATCTATGACGAGATGTGGCAGTTTCTCAAGCAGTTTGGCAGCAGGCCGAGTAAGCTCATTTCGAGTTCATTTCAAACGCTGCGCGTATTTTAGTCATACTTGCGTGATTGATAAAATGCGGCTAAAAATTAAGAAAAATAACGTTCACTAAATTCCCTAAAGCTCCTCAAGTTCCTGGAGTATCGAGACGAAAGACGACTTAATCGAAAGAGTGTTTCTTCTGCGGAAGGTGGCGTTTTTGGGATTTCAATTTTCGACATGGTTAACCAAAAAATATTTGAAAATGGTTAACGAGAATTGTGAAAATATTGGAAGTTTCATAACGTTTGGCGAGCTTTTTCGTTGTTACCATGGAAACGAAACTCCAATCCGAATCTTCTACAAAACGCACAGTACTAGGGTGACAGGATAAACCCGCGTGTGAAATTTCACTAGATCGGTCTAGCCGTTGAGACGCGAGATCTGGACGGACAAAACGACCGATAACAAGGGTCTCCTATAGCCAGGGCTGCCATAACGTCCTTATTTCTAAGATTTGTCTTTATTTCGAAGGTTTTTGTCTTAGAAAATGTTTTTGTACTCATTTCTAAGAAACGTCCTTATTTTATGGGTAGAGGTTCTTATACCAGACACTTAGATTGGTCAATTTGAATGAATTTGCTTGAAATGACATTAGAAACTCATTGATTGCTACGCGAATTCATTACGTAATAATAACAGCAAATTATTACGCCCGCGGGGTACAACGCTGAAATTCATGACGAGATGTGGCAGTTTTTCGAGCAGTTTGACAGCAAGCCGAGTAAGCTGAAGAATACAATATGAGTTAGCTAAAATAAATTAATCCTGGATCAAAGTTAAGTTGGTAATTCCGGATGAATTTGCTTTACACAAAATCATGGCGTCAAGTTTTGTGCAACGATTGAGAACATTCGGATTTTATGTTGTTTCGAGTAAAAAAAGAATCGACTTCAATAGGAGAATGTGGATAGCTGCTTTGGTATTTGTGGCATTCATTTTATTGCTTATCATGTATGGGAATTATATCATGAATCAACCAGAAAGAGGAACAATATATGAAGGTAAGAAGCAAAATAATACATTCTCTAATATATAATTCGGTGCTCCCGAAGTATTCGTACCAAGATGCCGCACAACCTGAACATAGCATGTATACCAAGTTTGGGTTGTTCAGGTTATGCGTCATCTTGGTACAAATACTTCCGGAGCTTCTCTCATTCATTGATTCCTATCTTTAATGCGTGTTGTCAACGCGTTCTGCTCGCTAGCACAGACGTAGGTTGACTGTGGCGTCAAAGGTGAGCTGGCTGGCTGTTGATTGGGCCATAGCAGTATAGTAGCACATACCGTTTGGATTAATAAATACTTATAGTTAATATAATAAGAAGTTATGCCTATTGACAACATACAAAAATTGTTGTTTTGAAAAGTTTGCGTCAGGTTACCGTGAAGTCTGGCTGACCGTTGGCTCCTATTTCTGCACCTCGCTCTCAGTTATTTCTAGAGAGATTTTGTCATCTACTGTCAACGAACAGAACGCAAAAGCGAGCTCAAAAACGACGTCCGTGTTTGTGAACGACTCTCACTATTTCTAAAGTTTATATCTCATAACGTCACTATGTTGATATCCAAGCGGGAACAATCAGAACTACGTTGCGATAAAACATTGTGATCGATTAACAGTGTCGCTTTAGAGATTACTGAAAAATATCATATAATAGTCAATTTTATTGAAAATATATTCACTTTTTCGAACTATTTAAGAAAATGAGTGGGTTGAATATGAAATCAAACAAGATTTCAAGAAAACATCAAAAGAAAGACATCGCGATAAACTATTAGTTGAATATGAAGCAGCCAAAAGAGCGTTATCAAAAGTTTTTCAAAAGGTGAGGTTTGCCACCATTTCGAATCGTTTTTCTTCATTTTGGTATGATTTTATTTTTCATGTTTCAAAATTGCATCTTATTATGCAATTTGATTCCCAATTGTAAACGCAGGCCATGCAAAATGTCATTACATACCAACGTAACCGGAGTCGGTTGTTGTAACTCATTTGACACACTATTCAACTATAAGAAAAAGGTTCACCATGTCTCCTTTCCCATACCCACTGACCAAACTTTTGTCCCCAAAGGAGAGGGAACGCGATAAGCTATTAATTTTGGTGAAAGTTTCACGAAGGGTGAGATTATTAGATTTTGAAAAGTTTATTTTGTTCTATTCTTACTTTTACTATAATATATAATAAATTCATTTCTATAAAATAGCAGCAATATGTTTCATACTTGTATCTTGCAACGCCATTTGATCCGTATACAAACACAACTTGAGCTGTTCTGTTATGTTTCATTTGCAATCAATTCAAGCTTATGAAAAAAAATATAACTTCACAAGATCGGCGATTTCCATGATAGCAATTTTATATCTTCAGCCACCAGTTCAGCGTGCACCAGATGTCATTGGAATCGGGGTTGAGAAGTGTGGAACAGGTGCTCTTAGGAGTTTACTTCGTATGCACCCGATGATCAAAGTAGCACCTAAAGAACCTCACTTTTTTGAACAACCGAATTTATATAAATTGGGCCTAAAAGCATACACGTGAGAATGTTATCATTGTAACTAACTTTGTATAGTGGTTCAGATCCTAATTTATGAAATAAACTAATATATACTATATGGTATATGCAATTGTTTGATTACTAGCTGCTAACAGAACATTATCTATTCAAAATCGGATCCTCTATTGCGTGAACGAGGATCAAGATTAAGGTTTTCAAACAATATATTATTTTGGAACTAAATTACAAACAAACCCATAAAATATTTATTTAAAGATCTATAAAATGTTAAAAAAATTAAGTAGCTGAATATCATCGAATAAGATTCTCAGCGACAAAAATACTTAAAGACAAAAATATAAAACAAACTGTTATTGTGGTGTTGTTTGAAATATAAGTACAGTATTTTTGTTGTTCAGACGTATGTTGGCCAAAGTTTTACCTCACGAAATATCATTTGAAAAAACACCGGCCTACTTCAACTGGGGACTCGCGACACCAGAACATCTTCGAGACCTTGTTCCTCACGCCAAACTTTTACTTGTTTTGTGCAATCCAACCGAAAGAACATATTCAGATTATGCCCAGGAGGTAATATTCTACTTTTTCGTCGTTGTATTATATAGCAGAATTTTAATGTAAAACGAGGGAGCGATGCTCAAATATATGGACGGCCGCCAAAACGAAGTAGTACGGTTTGCAATCTGCCACAGTAGACTACCGGTACCGTAGTCTTCACGATTTACGCGGAACCGCAATAGGTGTACAATACTTGATGACGACTTACCAACTTTCATACGAAACTTACGAATGCCCCATTATTAACTATGTTCTAAAATGCATAAATATGAATACAAAAAGAAAATTAAACATCGCATGTGGTTGGGCGGTGGATGATATGAGGGATATTTGTTTCGTTGAGTCCCAATTCTGTACTGGAGTAGGTTTGCCGTAATACTGTATGTCAGTGTTTTTTTCATGGTACACCATATACTAGATCAGGGGTTCTTAACCCGCCAATGCATATTTTGCCCCCACGCACGATAACCACCCAGCACGATAAAACTATGAATTGTGTCTTCACAGCAAATAGATGAATTACGTATTGTTACGTAATAATTGAGTTTCTTAGCTTCTCATCGCCCCCTCCATCTACCTTCGGCAGTGCGCTTTAAAACAGTATTACACTGCGTCCAGCTTAAAAGCAATAAGTCACGGCTACAAACAGAAAGAAAGTAAACGAGGAAAATAGGGTTTTCAACTCTGCGTGGAACAATAAATTTGCTTTTCTAGAGATAAATGGGAAACCCATGTGTCTTATTTGTCAAAGGAGCAAGCCGAGGCTAGTAAATTTACAACGACACCACGAACTGAGTTCAAAATTGCATATCAAAGATTTTAAATTACCTTTGAACAGAATGCAGACTCAGAACTCTCATTAAGAATAAAACGAGAATATCGGTCGGAGACCGAAGACTTATCGATCGAAACTGCGGTTTCAATTCATGACTCTATAGCGACACCGCGTGTCCCATCACTGATTAATTAATAACTCGCTAATTATACGACATAAAATTAATAGGCTTCTGGTCCGAGATATGAAGAATGCACATGCAAAATTTGGAGCAGACCACGCCTTCGTGAGATATCGCGTGCATCTAACAGACAAACAGACAAATATCTATCAACATACTTACCGATCTAAAGATCGATAAGTAACAATTGTAAAACGTTTTTGTAATTGAAAAGCATTGTTGCTGTTAGGTATAATTATATTTTTTTCTATGTTGTGAAATTATGTCATAGTTTTCGCTAGGGGAGAAGTTGCAGCTGCAAACTTACGAATGCCCCATCAACTATGTTTTAAAATGCATAACAATGAATACAAAAAGCAAATTAAACATCAGTATCGAACTAATAAATGAATTAAATAGTACAAATAAATGGTAATATTATTCTGCGGCCCGTCTTATCTTTTGTGGTCAAAAGCGGCCCCTTTACCTGGGAAGTTTACACACCGCACTCTACGAAACAAGTACAGTACGACAGGTGAGAAAGTGAACGACGAATTCTGAAACGGCACAGGGAAGCGAGCGTCCGCTCAAATAATTGACTGAAAGCATCGGCCAAAGGTCATGAAATGGGTAATGCACACACTAAACGAATGACATAAAAACTTTTGAAATAATCAAAATTAATAACCTTCTAGCGATCCATACGTACATTTCGTGTCCAATGATTTTTTTAGTCCACATAAAATTACTGTCATATCGACTCGATCTTAAGTTTTATAACAGATAATGATGGGTCATCTCAATAAAAACACAACGTTTGAACAAATGGTTGATGATCTTCTTGTCTACTCCGCTGATTTAACTGCAAAAATGAATGAAAGTGGAACGGAAATGGAATATATTGAGCAGTTATTTAAAAAAAGGAGTACTAACCATGTACTAACAACTGGATTGTATTACTATCATTTACTAAGGTAAATAATATTCTTCATTTTTTGAGTCCTAATTATACTACAAACTTTTGCCAAAGCAATAGTTTTTTGTCATGCTAGCAGTTGGTATCAATGAGACATCTTGTTCGGAGGAGGGAATCATAACTTCATTAAAGATACTAATAATATATATCATTTTATCAAACGCGACGCGTTGTGACAAGTCCTTCTGTTGGCATCATAACTTTGCTGTTTTCATCATGTTTCACAGATGGTATAAAGTGTTCAACATGAGCGATATCCATATCGTAGACGGTGAGGAACTTATATCTAATCCTGCCAAAGTCATAAAAGAGGTGGGTGTTCATTACAAATTTGCCCAAATTACAGGTGCGGTAAACACCATGCGTGAATTGACAAAACAGGCTGATATATACTGAATTTTAAATCCATTGCATCAGATGGATGCATGGTGTATTAAATTTGCCATTTTTTCGCATAACTCTAAACTGGTACATAAACTAAAGGAGTACTCTTTTTTGTTTAGAGAGCGATGCTCAAATATATGGACACGAAAATCAAAGCGAATCTACCTTTGAGTACCGGTACCGTAAAAAAACTTCCGATTTTCGCGTAGCACGAGGGAGGTCAAAAAACCGCTACAAATAATTAGTATTCATTTTCAAGAGGTCATCACACAAAATTTCGAAGTACAAAACTAATCACACAGAGCCCACAGAGTTTTGGAATATATAAAAGTAATAGCGAACTTCTCGCGAAAAATACGATCTTCAACCGCGGGAAATTTCAAAGAAATCGATCCAGTAGTTAATAAGAAACGATACGATGACAACAAGAAATAAATACCAACAAGAAAAACAACATGATAAAAAAAAACGTCCAATAGGTCCATTTCGTGTCCAATAACAAGCCGCTGCAAAATTCTCAGTACAAAAACGAAATATACTAAATTAATAAAAAAAAGAAATGGTTTTGAACAGAATAAAAAAACTTCCATCATTGACTTTGCTTCATATATTTACACCATTTTTGGACACGTCAGTGGACCTATGGATCGTTTTGGTATTTCTGTTGTTGTTCTTGTTGTTGTTCTTCATCATTATAAAATCGCTTTTTTCTTCGAATACTGGACCAATTGCTTTGAAAATTTCAGTGGTTGAAGATTGATTTTTTTGGGCAGAAGGCTATTACTTTAATTTATTTCTAAATTTTCTATGAATCCTATGAGATCTGATATTTCATTCAAAATTTCACTGTATTAACTTTTACGCATGAGAACACTGTTTCAAAACTTATGGAACTACTGGAAACTCGGAAGTTTTTTGAGGGTACCGGTTACGTCAAAGGTAAGGAATGCTCCGCTCTGGTCTACGTGTCCATATATTTGAGTATTGCTCACTTGTTAACTAATAATCATCTGCATCATCATTTATTTATTTTCTTGTTTCGTTGTTTTTGTTTACTTTAGGTTCAAGACTTTCTTCACATTCCAGAGTTCGTCTTACCAGAAAACATTCCGAAGGGACCGTGTGGATTTTCTTGCTTTGCCAAACCTTTAGTAGTAGAAAGAAATGGCGTTTTAGTCGCAGGAACAGCACGTATTTATTGTATGACTGGAAAGGGAAGGACTAGAAAAGGAGCATGGGGTGTCGCGAACCCCGAATATTTGGAAAAACTGCGCTTATTTTTTGCACCATTTAATGAAAAACTTTATAAACTACTCGGTCGTAGATTTAATTGGTGACGATCGATTAAAAGTTATTCAACTACCTCATCCTGCACATACTATATATAGGCTCTAGAAATTATACCTCTTGATTTATAGCAATAAAAATATTCTATGATAATAAAATATTAAATTTGTTAGTACTGGATTACCCGAGTGTGCTAGGAAACGATTCTCAGTTTCTATCTACCTCGACCCCAACCAGCAGCGCAAGATATTTATACATGTAAGATATGTAGCATAAAAGTAATAAATGGTTTCATTGAGAACACGGGAATGTTGGAAATACTCTATTACAAGCCTCAATACCAACATTTTTATGCAATATATTCAAGTTACCAAGATTTAGTGACTCAATTATTGTGAACTATTTTTTAAAACTGCTGAATTATCATCAACAATTATCGAGCCACTATTTTACTGAACAATTACTGTCCACTTAAAATATGCCCGACCCCGAAGGAAATATTTTGGAGGCAGACATGACATATAAATTATTGTGATTTCTGAGTTTTCAAATTTCATGGGTTATTTGTTCTCTTCACTTCGACAAAATGAAAACACATTTCTGTCAAAAGAAAAATTCGTCACAAGGAACCGATATGAAATTCTGCCGATAACCCATAGGCATAGAAGTACAACAAAATCGACACCCAACGCGTTCAAGTTTTATTCCTAATTTTAAAATTTTCCTAGTATGCAACAATAATTTTCAAAATGATATCCCTTCAATCACTTCAGTATAGAAGATAATAATTAAAAATCAGAACCCGACGTGACGCAGTCACTGAGATGTGCATTCTCTTTTAGTTAACACATGTTCACGTTAGTTTCAGACTACAAATCTGCGTATTTTTAAAGCTAGGTTGTTTAAAGTTTGAGGTACGTTTGCGAGGGATTGCTGAATCAAATAAAAAAAAAACGCAAAAGAAACTAAATATAAAATCCAAAGTACTGCAGTTCCACACATTTACCTGTTTTAAATGAAATAAAACCCAAATTGAGTGCATAACTTCCCTTGTATAGTAATCTGCCACAGACTCAGAAAACCGTAACTTGTTTCTTAAATTGACCAGCGCGTTATCTTCCCGTATGCAGATAACTGTTTTACCAATCGAGAATTCAATTTCGTTTATCATGATTATTGTAAAGCAGCGGAAACTTTCTAACTTTCAAAATATGTGACTGAATGTTCACGGAAGTTGGACCCCGAAACATCTTTTCAAGACCCCGCTGTGGGTCGCGACCAGCGCCGGATTAACCATTTAAACAGTAAATGCACGTGCTTAGGGCACCAAGCAAAGAGGGGCACAACAGAAATTTTGAAGCAGAATTTTATATAGTTTATCGGTGTTTATATTCACCAGACGACTCAAACTTCAAAATATTCGCTTATTTGTCGTCTTCAAGTATCATGTTAACCTTCTTCATTAAATATAAACACTGAAACTTATTTAAGTTACTCAAATATAACAATTCGTAATAAAATGAGTGTCTCAAGAAAGGTGACATAAGGAAAACACGGCGGAAAGGTATTTCCTTTCCCATCACACAGTGTCTGGTTTGATTTCAAGAAATTTCTGTCACGAAAGAATTTTATTTGAAGCGACATTAAACGCGAGATGCGGAAAATACAACGGTAATTCTCAGAAATTAATTCTAAAAATAACTGAAGGCTTTCTTTATATATACATCTTCTTTAAAAAAAAAACCATGCAACATAATATTAGTCTGATCAGAACGGTAAACTCTCGTTGTTTATTAAATTTCAAGTAAGTAAATTCGCGATATTTCGATCACTTTTGGGTTTTCTCCGACTTGCGACCCGCGAGACCTCCTCAAATACTTTGCGGTCTTGCAACCTAGCAACCTTGAACCACCCTGAGGTATACTACTAGGTAAAATTTCAAACTACTGTTGTGACTTGCATACTTTGGTATTTCGATTCACGTTGAGACTGGAGGCATGAATCTTTATTGCCACACTCTCTCAGGGTTAGAGATCAACCGATATATCGGCCCGATACTGCGTGTTTGCCGATATATCATATCGGCAGTAAACGGTTGATATATATATCGGCTATATATAACAGTTAAAAAATCTAAAAATGTTCGTTAAAGTTGTATATTTCCTGTTGGTTGTGATTATTTTCAATGGATAATACACACACTGTGGTTTATTGTTTTTATAATTAAATTACACATTTAAGGGGGCACCAAAGTCTTCAGTGCTTGGGGCACCAGTGGGGCATAATCCACCCCTGGTCGCGACCTGGAGTTTTGGAACCACTGCCATAGAGCCAACAAAGGAAAATATTCTATCAACAATAACAATCTTCAACCACTAAAAAATTTTGAAGCAATTGATTCAGTAGTTGAAAAGAGCGATATTTTTTTAAAGCTGAAATCTATGATGAGATGTGGCAAATTTTCAAGCAGTTTGACAGCAAGCCGAGTAAGCTGAAGAATATAGTTTGAGTTAGATAAAATTAATTAATCCTAGATCAAAGTTAAGTTGTTAATTACAGATGAATTTGTTTTACACAAAATCATGGCGTCTAGTTTTGTACAACGATTGAAAATAATTGGATTTTTTGTTGTTTCGAGTGAAAAAGAATTGACTTCAACAAGAGAATGTGGATCGCTGCTTTTGTATTTGTGCCATTTATTCTAATGCTTATCATGTATGGGACTTATCATGCATACCCTGGCCGTGGTGTCAAAGAGCATACCGTCGGGCTGTTGATTAGGCTATAGCAGTAGTATTGCGAACCGTTGCTATCAACCAGTGGCGTATCTGCGTAAAATCGCGCCCATGGCAAAGTCTGAAAATGCGCCCCCTCGATAGTTGTTTGACAATTTATAATGACTAATATTGAATTGAGATACTTGTACGTTATTATTTGAGTGAAAATACGAGTTTTAGTTATTCCCAATTTTAAATTATTTTATTGAAACTTTTTATGATTAATACTTTTCGTCGTTTTTGCGCCCCTGCCCAAACGGCGCCCATGGCACGACCCATGGCTGCCACACCCTAGGTACGCCACTGCTATCGACGGATAGTTACAATTGAGATGATAAGAAGCTATGCCAACAAACAACATACAAAGATTGTTCTTTTAAAAAATTAGCGACAGATTACCAGGCTTGTCCATGGGAAATATTTTCCTGTCCCATCCCACCCCATAGCAATTTATGACTGTCCCATCTCACGGGGTTCCCATTGAAATACAATTCAAAAAGATTTGATGCCCTTCAAAGCATGCAATCACAGAGCAAAACATTCGGTAAAGCAAGTTTACTAATCACTTTACAATTTTTATTATATATTTTTTTAAATTCTAGGTTTCAATTGTGGATGGATGAATCATGCAACATTAAAGAACTGCTGTATATTTAGTTTCTTTTGCGTTCTTTTTTTAAATTCAATTCAGCAAACCCTCGCAAAGGTACCTCAAACTTTAAACAACATAGCTTCAAAACTATAGCAAGGATGGCGAACCTTTTTTAATTAATGGATCAAAAATTATATTTTTATCGCGGAACAGAAAAGAGTGGGCCACCGATATTTAATCAATGTTTGTATCTATAAGAAACTTTTGAAACAAATCTTATAAGCTTCTGTTGATGTAGTTTTGGGCTTTACTTATGCAGTACTTTTATCAGGGACTTTTTATGGGACTCGATTTTATGAAATTAGAGTACGAAAACACGCATATGAATTACCAAAAACGTTTAGGATGATGCGGCAAATTATTTTACAGTTCCAAAAGTTTGAGGGAATTCCACTCTGATAGTGTTATATTTTTCGATCAGCTTTCAACCATATTAGGGCACTTTTACACTGCGAGCAGACATGCGTCCAATGTTAGTGGTTTTGAAAATTACCTTACCAGCCCGGAAATTAGCAATTTGAATATGAGCGATCGCAGCCCTGACCGCCCAACAGACGGTGCATTATAATAGTTTAGTTATTGTTAAACTACTTTAAGGCCGGTTCTATGAATTTTTATCATTGTTATGCATTTTTATTTTATTTCGGTGAGTCACTTTGTGACCCGCGGGTCAGTGGTTCGTCATCCCTGTAGGCTCTAGAAATTATACCACTTGATTTACAGCAATAAAAATATTCTATGATAACAAAATATTAAATTTGGTATTACTGGATTACACGCTCGTTTCCATGAAGACGAGTGTGCTAGAAAACTCTTCTCAGTTTCCAATTTCCTCCGGCCTAGGTACCACAATTTGATACACTTGTTCAAATTCTAATTTAAATGATTGCTAAAGCATTACGGTGAAATTTTCATGAAATGGTATCTTCATTTATTGGATACAGAGTGGACCTATGAATCGTTTCGTTAAATTGTTGTTTTTAGTATTCATCTTATTTTTCTCCTGGTTGTTTTGAGAAAAATCGCTTTTGTTTACCTACTGGACCAATTGCTTCGAAATTTTTAGTCGTTGAAGATTGTTATTATCGCTAAAAGGGTATTATATATTTTTTTGGCTCTATGGCAGTGGTTCCGAAACTCTAGGTCGCGACCCACAGTGGGGTCTTAAAAAGATTTTTCGGGGTCTAACTTCCGCTGAACATTCAGTCACATAATTTGAAAGTTAGAAAATGTCTGGTGCATTATAATAATCATAATAACAATTTTCGTGAAGGCGTTGGGACAGATTACTATCCAAGAAAATACAATTTATGCAATCAATTTGAATTTTATTTCATTTAAATTAAGCGCACTTTTCAGGCGTATGGCATTACTTCAGCTGTATTTTTTAGGAATTTTTCTTTCACCATTACCAAATTATTCTGCCGCTTATATAAGTATCTTGCGCTGGTTGGGGTCGAATTAGTTAGCCATTCACTTTCCTGTAATTATAAAGAATAGAATGCATAAAGCGCAGATTCTTTTCTATTCCCCGTTCAAATTGTTTTACTACGAATATAGCGGTAGTGGTAATACAACCACTGCATATCAATATAGATTAACGAAGTACGCCGCAGGGTACAAAGCTGAAATCTATGACGAGATGTGGCAGTTTCTCAAGCAGTTTGACAGCAAGCCGAGTAAGCTGAAGAAAATAGTTTGAGTTTGCTAAAATCAATTTATCCTAGATCAAAGTTAAGTTGTTAATCATGGATGAATTTGTTTTACAGAATCATGGCGTCTAGTTTTGTACAACAATTGAAAATAATTGGATTTTCTGTTGTTTCGAGTAAAAAAAGTATGGAATTCAATAGGAGAATGTGGATCACTGCTTTTGCAATTGTGGCATTAATTTTATTGTTTTTCATATATGGGAATTATATCATTAATCAAACAGAAAGAGGAGTAATATATGAAGGTGGGAAGCAAAATATTTTAAAGTACCAAGTTTTTATTCTCTAATATCTAATTCATTGATTACTATTTGTAATGCGCCTTGTCAACGCGCTCTGCTCGCTAGCACAGACCTAACCTGGCCGTTGTGTCAAAGTCTGGCTGTTGATTAGGCTATAGCAGTGGTAGCACGATAGTTGCAATTGAGATAATAATAAGTTATGCTAACTAACAACATACAAAGATTGTTGTTTCAAAAATTTAGCGCCAGGTTACGGTAACGCCTGGCTGACTGTAGATCCTCATTTTTGCACCTCGCAGACTTAGATAATTCTATAATTCGGCAAGAGATTTCGTCAGCTACTATCAACAAGCAGAACGCAAATGCGAGCTCGAAAGGGACGTTCATGTTTATAAACGACTTTCACCATTTACTAACAACGTCGCTTTAGCGATTACTAAAAAATCTCAAATATTATCCAATTTTTATTGAAAATATATTAATTTCTTCCGAACTATTCAAGAAAAAGGCTGGATTAAATATGAAATCAAAGAAGATTACCAAAAAACATCAAAGGAAAGTTGAATATGAAGCATCCAAGAGAAAGTTATATAAAGTTTTACAAAAGGTGAGGTTTGCCACCCCAATATATTTTGAGAAACAATTCAATTCAACTTTT